ATTCTGGCGTTTACAAGAGGTTTCATTAACACGCGAGTCTCATCACGAGGCTGCCAGATGTAGCTTCGTGTATCCATCGTGGTTTTGCTCCTGTTACACGCTGCTTCGCGTGGCCCTATGGACGGCTCTCCCTTGTGCTCTACGGCGAGACACGTGCTCGCTCCGATATTGAAAGGATGTCAGACGGGCGAGCCCCTTCCACAGCTGCTAATGACGATAAATGCTTCACGGCTAATGACGGAAGCTGCTCGGAGCTAACGACGATTAATGCTCCCAACGACCGCCGGGTGAGGACAATCGGCGCGAGTGGCAGGGAGGCAGCAGCTTGGCTTTAGATTCTCTGCGCGTTTTTGCAAAGAGAAAAATCGCCTACTGCCGCAGTGCAGCATTTCGGTGAGCGCATTAATCCTGGTATTACACCCCAGCCGTATTCAAATAAAAAAAGTTCTCTGCGTTAAATATATTTAGGAGTCCATCCTATTAGGCTTCCAGACCTTGCATAATCCAGTAGCGTTTGTCTTAAGCACGCCGAATCGGCACTCGCGGTCTGGGGATCATCGGCAGAGGCTAAAGAGTTGCTCGGAGGCTCAACTGGACCCATGTGGCAGTCTCAGCTGGCAGCAGCCCCTCGCTCGGAGCCCTGCCCACTTTCATGTAGCCCCGCCCCCCACACATGGGTAGCCCCGCCCCTTGTCAAAAGATTTTAAGTTTGCGACAAAATGCGAGTTCAACTAATATGTAGGAGGCTTTCGCGGCCAATGGTATCCATCGGAGGTTTTTGGGTTGGATCACGCCGCGGTTTCATGCGTCGTTAAACCCGCCACCAGGCTGTCGCCTGATGACGCTTGTTGTAATTACTGGCGAAATGTCTCTAATTGTAAACGTGAGTTAACTCTCCAACGCATCGGTGGCGCTGTACTAGTAACGAATTGGCATGTTTTGTTGACGTGACGCCTTACTAATTGGCCGTGTCGGTGGTGGCAGGTTTAACGGCACATTTCTGATTACGCGATCTAACACAAAAACCTCCATGGACAAAATGCCAGTTTTCACAAAAGCTTCGGGACACGGGGACAGACTTCCTGAAACCCAGTGGGGCTGCCTCTGCCAAACGAACGTTTTTCTATCCTTGTACCCATAGGCTGGTTAAACAAACACTGCTACTGGTGGTGACCCAGATGTTACTGGCGAGTGCCCGCTCCTCCATGCCGTCCATATATTGCACAACAGACTCATCACGATGGCATGCTGTGAGATAATCACTGAATAACCAATTGGCATGCAGCAGCAGGCATATTGTAAGGAAAGTAATGAACGTGCATGCGGTGAGGAACGGCGCCCAAACGGGGCATTGACGGTGACGTGTCTGGGATATGTCCTGCAGGAACACGGATGGTGGAGTTTGCTTGTGAGAAAAATGCAGTGAGTGATGTAGGTTATAAATAAAAAAGGTTGACGGTGTAACTGGTCTGTCAGGATTATACAAAAAGCTAAATAGGAGACTCATGAAATCGACGTTAACGCCGGTTATTTTGTCGATTGCAATTATTTACCCCAGGAAAGTTTCGCTACGTCAAAACTCATCGGCAGGTTCCTGCCACTCGGGATTGGCCAATGTCATGAATGACTTCACGTGGCAGGAGTCCGGAGAGAGCTGTGTACGAGGGGGGGGGGGGGGCGACACTTGGCACTGCCACGTGACGCCCGTTACACCCGGCTCGTGCGTGGATGGACCTTGTCGCCGATCCAGTTTCCTAACCAAGCTCAAAGCCTGCTGCCTTGCCGTCAGAGATCGTGTGCGTCCAATCGGGGGGTGTGGGGGGGGCATTTAGTTTAGTCGGCAAACGCAGATGAATGTGCGACGGCTTGCTGCTTGATCATTAATAATGAGCTCGCAGCTGGGCCCAGGCACGCGGGGCCCACCCCGTGGTTTAATTTGCATTTCGCGTGCCGTGGCAAAGGAATTGCCGCTGCGTAGGGGGCTTTGCAGCCGGGCTGCGCGGCTCGCCGATGCGTCGCGCGGTTGTCGTGCGTGTTTGGCACAACGTCCGATATTTCTATTCGACGATTTACGAAAAGAACTCGCCACGGGCCGGCCGACGGCAAGGAGGCGAGCCCAATCCGAGTCGGTAAATGTCAGCATCTGGCAACTTTCTTCCGTGGTCGAGGGAGAAATTGAGCAGCTCGGTTCGTTTCCCCGAAGGGAGCCGCGGCGTGCGGAGCGAAACGTCGGACGTCGTGCCGAACAACGCGCAGTACAACCCGTGCAGCATATTTAATCTGAGAGAGGATGTCTGGATATGGCATAGAAGGTTAAATGTGGAGAGCTATGTCGTGAGGCTGAGCTTGACCCCGACAGTTCGTGGCGTGGCCTGCCGTGTCTTGTTCGGCATGACGACCGGTCAATTGAAATGTTTCTTCCTCCACGTGCTCATTTCGCGTGGGAGGAAACTGGAGAAGCCAGAGAACCCACGGGGCATTCGAGGGGTAGGAGGCGGCAATTGGCACTGCCATCTGCTGGCTACCCGGCACACGGCCCCACGTGGAGCCACGAGGCGAGCATCGTGCCAAACGCTACGGCAGTGCAGCAGAGCGGAGAGCCGTGGTGTCGTGTTCTGGCTATACTAAAACAATATAATTTTTTTTTATTTGACCAGGTAAGGCCCGCTGAGCTTTACAGCTCTGTTTTTCGGAAGCGACCTGGCCACAAATGATAGCTCAACCAAAGTGGCTTATCACGTGGGAATTTAAAGCAGCCAAATACTCTAAGTGTGTGATGTTGAGTTTCTAAATGTGGGTGGAGAAAAAAACCGGATGACCCGGAAAAAAAAAATCCACGGGGAGAACATGCGAACTCCAAATATACAGCAGGCGCCGGGGTTGGGATCGAACCCACGACCTCCTGTATACCAGGCGAGGCAGTTAACATCTCGCCACCGTGTCTGCTGATGCCTGGGGTGTAGTTGGCAGGGAGAAGTCCGGTTGGTGAGGTGAGGGATGCGCTGTCTGCAAGCAAAGATGCTCGTCGCTCAAGTAAACGTGGGTGGGCAAAACGACACTAAATACGACGGGGAAGGGGGGAGGGGAAACGTGGAAGGATGATCACCGACGTGCAATAGGAGGACTTAAAATAAGTAATACACGTGACGTACATATGCCCGGTACAATCACTTTGATGCATACGCAGGCACAGAACGGACACAAATTCCATTTCTAAAGCAGGCAAACCAGAGGTGGGTAACCGAGTGTAGTGGATCATACCGCATTTGGCAGCTGAAATAAAGACATTAGGAAATTGCGCGTTATTTTTGTAGATGTATAGAGATTTTTCCTGGTAATAAAACGGCTGTCTTAAAGCAAAGATTGACTCTTAAGCATGGTAGGTGTAACGTTCAACATCAGGTGCTTGGTGCGGAGAGAAAACCTAACACTCCAAAAAAAATAGCGCAGTGTGAAATATCTGCATAAACACAAGTAATCATGAAAAATGTATTTGCGGTCGTTAAAATAAAGAAAAATGCAAATATACATTCATAATAAATGGCAACTTGTTGGGCACCAGTCTTTTACTAAATAGTGAAACGTTGACTACAGCAAATCGGAGTTAACTCGTTGTGAGCGTCGCATTGGCGTGGAGTTGGCCGTGGTTGGGGATATTAAACGGCGACCATTACTTGTCAACGCACTTGGCCAACTTTGCAAATGCACTGTAATCTCACGCAAAGGACACCACTGGTATAACAAGCGTGTCGATCTTCGTGGAAAGTGCTGTTGGTGGGCAACTACGGGCGAAGCTGCACGCGGGGACGGGTCGTGTGGCCAGCACGGACGGCCGCCTTTTGTCTCCACGCTACTGATGTTTTATGCACCGCTCCTGGTACTCTTGAGGCCAAGTCGACCTAGAGGAGACTCGGCACCGGTTCAAAAATCGCTAGGCCGCTGACGGTAGCCGATCAAACTCTGCATCTACCTTCGTAGCGCAGTGTGCCACCGTTACCCATTCGGCCACACTTTAGCACTTATTTTTAAAAATATATAATCTCGAAACTGTGGAAATGAGGTTTTTAAAGGTCCAATTTATCTTGACGATCGCTTCAATAACTTCACTGGAGTCAATGAATTGTGTTTATTTAATTAAAGGCTGGTGTCCCCAAGGTATATTCACAGCTCTTCTCATTCATTGTCACCCTACAAATTGTACTCTAAATATACATGGGCAACAATAACTCGTGTGATCAACACATTTTTTTGATTAGCTTCTAACATTCGTGCACACACCTTCACGGTGTTTCATTAGGCATCTGTGCCTCGATAGGTGCCGATGTTGTTTGCCAAAGTTGCTCATCGCGTCAAGACGGGGGTCCTTCGTTCACCGTGGCCACTGCACGAAGTGTTCTCCTGGTGCTTTGAAAACCGAACGGGTGACTGTTCAAATCCAAACGGCCAAATAATTTCGATGTAAAGCTTTCGTGACTGCAGGGATTCATATTCTTGGTTCTTTCGGTAAAGTCACGTAGAAGGGAAATAATAAAATAATAAAAATAAAAATTCTCGCGTCCTGAGGACACTGCTTGCGTTGTGGCCGAAACGTCGTGAGAATTTTATTTTATTATGTTTTATTTTTATTATTTTATTATTTCCCTTCTACGTGACATTGCCGAAAGGGCCAAATAATTGTTATTTCACGCACCTTTGTCCGTCCACTGATGGGCAAATGTCGCTTGGTGAATGGAGGGGGGCACCAGGACCGGTTCAGAAACCACGCGCCACTGCCGTTAGCCGTGGACCGCAATCGAACTCCAGTCATCGGCTTCACAGTACATGGCGCTAACCGTGGCGCCACTGCTCCCCTTTCGCTTAACAGTTGCATATGCACAATCAACATGTACATGTGTAAAATAGAACGCTGGGGCTATTCTGTATGGCTTTCCGCTTTGTATTATCGCTTCGATACGAGGTCTCGGGGGACGTGACGGTCGAACTTTATGCGCACGACTCGCCTGCTCTCTCGCATGTCCGACTTGTACTCGATGGCAATGAGCAGCAGCTTCAGCTTCATGAAGACCAGCCTGCAAAACACACGCACGGCCGTCACGACGAACGCACGGCCGTCACGACGAACGCTCGGCGTGCAGCACCACCACCACCACCACCACAGGGCTTTTATACTTTTTGTTGCCCTTCCACCCCGCGCACCTCCAATTAGCACGGGAGGCTACGTACGGTGCTAAAGAAGTTCAACATACAGTATGCACAATAATAACGTGACATTTACTGGTGCCACGGAGACTGCGACTAACCCTGTCGTTTTGAAATCGAGCAATGGCAAAGATTCCCCGCCATACTGATGGGCGAGCATGCCTTTCAAGTAAATAAGTAATATTTAAAAAAGCCTTTTTAAAAACACGCTTTAATGAAATGTACCGTACTAGTATGGTCATCAGTATGACATAAGTATACCAAGTTTGCAGTCGATACCACCTTGGTCACTTCTCTGGCAGTGACAAAAGTGATTGTGTGCACAAAATTAGAAATTCTGTGCTGCTGTTGCCAGGTAGGCAAATTTCCCCCCTCAATTACCCAATTAGTGCGGCTAAGATGCTTGCAGTGACGGATGAGTGTCGTTTGCGGGTCAATCCGATGCGGTGGGTCTCGTGTGATCATGGGCAAACAGTCCCCCACCCATAAACATAAGAGCGCTTATCTTAATTAAACGTTGGCAATGTTCATTACAACGGTACTGAAATGTATTACATCGCAAAGTTGCACAACATTGGTCAGTGCTGCTCAACTACAGTGTCTGCACCCATCGCACGGTCCACTTTCTCCGTGTTCACAAATCTATTGTCTGCTGAAACACAAATTAATCCGCTGCTACAACTGGCGCTTAGCAATCACGCAAAGCTGGTTGCCGTGGAGGGCCTCGAGCACTGGAACTTAAGGTGGTGATGCTCGTGGTTGGCGTGGGAAATCGCTTGCTTCTCCTACTGCTGCTGGCAGAAAGTGGGAGTTCAATGGAGCCCTCCTAGAAGGTTGCCATGGGGGAGGTGAGGGGCCTGTGGCTGTAGTGCAATTGCACCGCCTGCACACTTGACGTCAATGCCACGGCGTCGAGGCACGTTCGTGGATTGCAGGCTGCGGTAACGGCGCGGCGAAGCGCGGCTCGTCATTGTGAACGCCGCCAACGGCCGATGTCGTGTTCTCCTTTCCTTCAATGGCCGTGTCAGTGGTGGCGGCGGTGGTGGTGGCGCTATCGTGGTGGTGCAGGGGACGCAGACCCACTCGCAAACGGTGGGGAAGGACAGCCCCGTGAAGGCGTTGGACAGGTACTCCGTGTACATCTCGTTGGACACTCCCTCCAGGTAATACTTCTGCCAAGTGTCCTCTTCGATCTGGTGCGGCAAAGGGACATGCAGAGGCAACAACAACCGCCATTCACCACTAAGTGGCGGTGATGTCACTACGACGCTTGTGCCAGGCCATGTGCACCTTGAGGCGCGCATACACACACCCATGGTCGCATCGATTTGCATTGCTGGACATGAACGCCATGTTCCAGCGAGATGTCGCGTAGCCACGGAGAAAAATAAACCGCCCGCGTCCACTGCAAGTTCTTGTTAGTGGTGTAACTGTCATTTCTGACAAGCCGGCTGATGTAAGTGTGCAAAATGCCCGGCGAGAGAACCGTAGCTTGGGGAGGCACGCATCCCCATTGTCAATGGCATCGACCCCCAGGGAGCATTGTGATGCCGGTGACAGCGGCACACTCGCCACGTCTAATAACACGTCTTTTGTTTTTGCTGTTGTGTGTTTTCCTACAATTTTATTGCCAAATTGTACTGTCAGTGTCGTGAGACAAAAACTAATCTCAGAGTGGTGCAGTGTTAGGGGGAGGGGGGGATGGGGGGAACGGTCCGAGGGGAATGATATATCACAGAACTACTGTTAAATGTCATCACGTGATGTGTCATCCACACGAGGGATTCCGTGTTTTCTCACCCTCCCTGCTACAGGAGGGCAATTGTTTTTTTTTTGTTTGCTGCATGACATTCAAACCGATTTATATTTAACTGCGAGCTGGAAATAATCCAAATGTAAGTGCAAGGCCAAAGTTGACACGCTCGCTGTTCATGCACAGTCATTGGCAGCTGGCCTGACATCATCGGCTCGCTACTCCTCGAGGAACCCGCTATTAAGTCACACGGGTGACCGAAAACCCGGAATCGAACCCAGCCTCCCGGCGGCGCTGGCTCAAGGCTCTGACCTCCGAGCTGGCAGGCTGATGTCCAGTGCCGTGCGCTCTGACCGACACCTTCGGTCAATCGCACGCGGCGGTGCCTCCCTCCTGGGGACTCGGGACTATTCTCAGTTGCTTTTTAAACGCGGGGTCAAACACGTTAAACCGCAATTCTACACGCAGCGATTATAAATACACGATACAGTATGTTGTTACGTCCCGGATGACAAAAGGGATATAAATAGTAATATAATAAAATAACGGCGCACAGGATGGAATGCGTCCGAGAGGGACGTCCAACCGAAGGAGACGGAGCGATGAAATTGGTTCCCGTGTGCAGGCGCTGGGTGCATCGTTTACAGCAGACAGATCGCGAGAGGTGGCGGCGGCTGCTTGGAAAGGCCTTCATCCAGCAGTGGATTGACCGCAGCTCATGGTGATGAAGAACACAAATCAAAGGCTATTAATAATATTTGTCGGACATAGCGTGACGTTTCGGATGGGCACCTGGTGGCAGATGCAACCTTTTAAATATAAATCTGCGGTTAAACGGCAGTTGTAGGTATTACCGAGCGATGCAAATAAAGCTGACAGCGAGTGCACGGTGAGATGCACAAGGGATACCGGATTCCCCAGGCAACACCTGGAGTGTGCCGCCTGATTTTCCGTGTGACGTCTTTTAATCCAGAAAATAGGGTTGTTTTTAATTTTTTTATTGCCGGTGTGCGGCGGGGGTGGGGTGTTTGCATTGTTATAGCTGTATCTATTAAAATCTGAATTTATTTAGTTATAAGCCATGCATATACATAGATTTAATACCCTTCTACATATGCTGTGTGAATATTACAATAATTCACAGCCCTGTGTTACTCCACCGCCGTGTTGATCATGGAGGGGGGTGGGGGGGTGCCTTGATCGTACATCATCGTGCCGGTCGGTACAAGCTGTGAAGATGAGCAGCATAGCTGTAGTAGCATAGAAGTACAGTAACAACAATAGACGCTCCCTGTCTGTTCCCTGTGCTGCCCACAGTGTAACCCTGCAGCAGCCTATAACACCTGTCACACAGGGTTGTTGTCCGTCCAACTCCTGCTTGGCTAGCCAAGATCTGACAAGAGTGGAACATTCCCAGTGACCTGATCATCGGCTGCACCTTTATGAGTATTCTATAGATGAGGATGCAGAGCGGCAGAGTTGTATCCCAGTGTCTATACAGAAGAAGAGTGCAAAGCCAGAAACTAAGAGCAAACTGCGGCTGTCATGTCCAAGTGATTTTTGCTCAAACGATCATTGACGCAGTGCTCTCCTGCGTACAGCTCTGAGCCAGTTGGGACTTTCCACGTTCCCATGGCAGACGACTGCCGTTAGCTTCCCACACTAAGTGGCACAGAGGGGTGCGTCAATCCCCGACCCAGGATTCGAATTCGGGGCCTTCCAACTCACGAGCAGCTCAATCGCACAGAGCCACCGGGTCGGACGACACGATCGCTGTGCCCGTGTGCGCACATTTAACTTATTTCGCACCGTACGTAGCCAACCGTGCTAATCGGAGGTGCGGGGGAAGGACAACAAACTCAACACAAAAAGCAGTTCTGAAGAAATGAGTTTTCAGGCTGGATTATAAACGAGGTACGGACGGACGCGGCCAGCCCTTGACGAGGCGCAGCGCATGCCCCGCCCACTCGGTTTCCATCCCTTGCTGGCAGCGTGGCTTTGTTAGATGGGACGAGGCCACCGTACCCGCGTTGGAAGTGTCACCGGCGCGTTCGCACATCTACAGGTGCCTTCGCAGTAGCCCCTGGGAGACGCGGCAGTTTAAAGCTCTAAGTGTTAATTCGATTTGCATCCTCCATTTGTGGAAGAAAAAACAAAAAATATAAGCGGACCAAAACGCGGTGCCCCCGTTATTAGTCAGAATTAAAAACCCACGTGGACACTCCCCCAGTGTCCTTGCCGGGCGGTGTTTAGGCTTCCACTAATTGCGTGGGTCGTAAAGAGGTAAAGGAGTGGCCCTGCAATTGCTTGCTCGTGCGCCTGTTGACGGAAAGCAGAGTTCGATGGAGCCCCCTTCTATAAAAGGTGTTTTGGTCTACTCTTCCATGCGAGCCGGACGTATTTCAGGAGCGGGTGGGAAGTAACCCACACTTCTCCTCGCCGCACGTGACCTGCTGATCGACGAAGCGTGGTGTACGCATTTATACTGCTACGTCGGGAGATTGAACCGGTGACCTATGGACTGTATAATATATAAAATATCGTAAATATAATTATACAATGAATATTACAAGAACCAAGGTCGCATCCCCTGACTTGCTGAATATTTTTTGGATATGCTGTTAGGCTGGCTTGGAGGTAGGAATTATTGGCATAAGGCACCACAATGAGACTACAAGGTTATACCTATCAACAGCAATGCTAAATGATCGCACCCAATGTTCCTGCGATCCTACAAAATTGTGTGCGTGGAAAATAACGAGAAAATACGTTTAGTTTAGTTTTTTGAAACGGCGAGTTTTGATGCTCGCCGGTTTGGGCCACGCTCACCTTGATGTACGAGCGCATGGAGAAGAGGTTCGCGAGCATGGTGGAGAGGCCGGGCGCGAGGCAGCTCTGGGCGATGAACCCGAGCTTGAGCTCGGCGAGGCAGATGGCGTCGTCGCCCTCCTTCCAGTTCCAGCTCGGGATGTTCAGGAGGTGGGCCTGGACGCAGGGGCAGCAACAACAACGGAAGAAGTGGTGGTGGCGGTGGTGGCGGCGGTGGCGGTAGTGGGAGGGAACCGGCGGGCAACGGTGCTTTTGCAGTGGTTTCAACCGCGCCGTGTTCAAGCCATCGCAGGTCACAGCAACGCTCGCCCACCCATTCACCACACTGCAGGTCACAACTCACCCACCCACTGACTCGGCTACCTACTCATTCACCCACCCACTCGCCCACACAGTACACTGCAGGTCACAACAACTCACCCACCCACTGACTCGGCTACCTACTCATTCACCCACCCACTCGCCCACACACCACACTGCAGGTCACAACAACTCACCCACCCACTGACTTGGCTACCTACTCATTCACCCACCCACTTGCCCACACAGCACACTGCAGGTTACAACAACTCACCCACCCACCCACTCACTCCCCACACTGCAGCTCACTTCTCCTTTTGCTTATTCCCACCCACAGCTCCACCTTTGAGTTCCCTCCCACCGTCCCCAATTTTTTACAATAACCTCGCCAAGTTCACGAAACGTAAACTCGTTTTTTACGAGGTTGCTCGTGCTGTCTGTTGGCCTACGGGCCTGTTGCTCAACAAGTGTTACAAAAAAGTGTATGAAAACTAAACACTAATTCAATATATATAAAAGAGCAGCATAACGATGCACCCAACGGTGTACGGAGACGGCTGGAATACAAGTTCTGCAGATAAAGCACTAAAAGGAATGTTGCACAGGGTTTGTTTTGTTGAGCCAGGTAAGAACTGGAAAGAGCACGATTAGCCTCGCGTGCAAGAGCTACCCGGTCACATGATGAGAAATTAATCGTGAAGTTGGGTACAATGTTGATCATCGTGTGCTGTTGGATACAGTTAATTCCGGGCAGGGCTTAATCACAGGTGAGCTGCAACCCAGATCTGATCTCGGGGTCTCAGCCGTGCCCCTCGGTACTCTGACCTCTGAGCCACTTCCCCAGTCTTGGCACTTCGTCTTTTTGCCGTTTGGCGGGTTGAAGGATTTTGGGGCCGTGTGTGCGAGGAGAGAGCATTCGTGTGGCCGTCACAGACGACGGTGGCGAGCTGCTACCTTGTTGTGGTACTGTTGCATCTGGGTGATGACTCGGATGCGGGGATGGTAGTTTTTTATGGAGATGACCCTGCAATGACAAAAGCGGCATGGCCCAGCAAAGCCCGGCGACAATTCGATTCAGACGGACGCACCAGAGCACAGATGCGAGCACAACTCCGAGACTCGCTTGCAAGCCACGTGGTTCACCAGCTGCGCCGGAAGAGGAGCTAGCGCAGGTTCCAGCGCTGCGATCGCTCGTCCACGCCACTGCCCTCAGGAGGGCCTCCACCAGGGGGACCTCCAGAGAGACCTTCTAGAGGGGATATCGCCTAATCCTTAGTGGCCAGATGTCTTGGAAGAAGTCGGAGTACCCACACTTTACCCCACCGTATACAATCTGACAATCGGATAACTGCCGTGTACACATTTATACTGCTGGGTGGACAGACAGAGGTGGCGTGATTTTAAGAAACTTGCCCCATTGTATTAAATACTTCAATTTAATTGAACCGGCGACCTGAATTTCAAGTCCGTGCCAGCATCGCCGAACTCGGCCAACTCCGTGGGATGGGAACCAAGTGATGTTTGGCTGTTGGCTGTGGCCAATGCTGCTGGCGCACACCAAACCCACCCAGCAATCCGGCCACACAGCCAGCCCCTCAGCCACCCAGTCAACCAGCCAGCCCCTCCAGCCAGCCACTCACTCACCCAGTCAACCAGCCAGCCCCTCCAGCCAGCCACTCACCCACCCAGTCAACCAGCCAGCCCCTCCAGCCAGCCACTCACTCACCCAGTCAACCAGCCAGCCCCTCCAGCCAGCCACTCACCCACCCAGTCAACCAGCCAGCCCCTCCAGCCAGCCACTCACACACCCAGTCAGCCAGCCAGCCCCTCCAGCCAGCCACTCACACACCCAGTCAGCCAGCCAGCCCCTCCAGCCAGCCACTCACGCACCCAGTCAGCCAGCCCCTCCAGCCAGCCACTCACACACCCAGTCAGCCAGCCAGCCCCTCCAGCCAGCCACTCACACACCCAGTCAACCAGCCAGCCCCTCCAGCCAGCCACTCACGCACCCAGTCAACCAGCCAGCCCCTCCAGCCAGCCACTCACCCACCCAGTCAACCAGCCAGCCCCTCCAGCCAGCCAGCCACTCACGCACCCAGTCAACCAGCCAGCCCCTCAGTCAGCTCCCCAAGCCATCCACCCAGCCACTCTGACCCCCAGCATCTCACGCAGCCACCCACCCACTCCCTCAGTCCACTGCTTTATGTTTAGTTATTGTCCTTCCCCCCTCCCCCGCACCTGCGATTAGCACTGCTGGCTACGTACGGCGCGAAAGAAGTTCAACATACACACGTAGTCGGGCACCCATGCATTAAAGCGCGTCCGGCACGTTCGTGCGGACGCGTGGCAGTGAGTCTGCCGTCCACTAAGGGCGCTGGCCCCGGGGCCGCTCGCTCGCTCCCTCGCTGGCTCCCTGGCTCGCCTCATGATGTTGGAGGCGTCCTCGGCGTCGGGGTCTCCGCAGTATTTGTTGGCGAGGATGAGGCACGCGTCTGCCGCCTCGATCTGCACGCGGCGCCCCGCACACGCCGGGACACAACGAAGACAATAACCACAACAGATGTTCACATGTGGCGAGATGTTAACTACCTCTCCTGGTATGCAGGAAGTCGTGGGTTCGATCCCGACCCTGACACCTGCTGTATATTTGGAGTTCAGCGTGGATTTTTCTCCAGGTCCTCCGGTTTTTCCCTCCACGTTTTAGAATCAACATGCGTTCAGATAATTTGGCTGTTGCGCTACATTTCCACGTGATAAGCCACTTCGTTGAGCTATCATTTGTGATAGCCGGGTCGCATCTGAAAAAGAGCTACGTAGCTCAGTGGGCTTTGGTAAAATAAAATAAATAGTATTTTTAGATCCACCGCGGTTAGCGTTGCCAACCCTCCCGCATTGGCAGGGAGTCTCTGTGCGAATTGTGTCCTGGTGGATATGGAAAGAAATTCCGGGAGATTTTAATAAATGGGATGTTTTAAGAAAATGAATGCACTTAATTCAGCCGCAAGTGCATTCGTTGTTAATACGATTTTTCATTCCCTTGACAGTGCAACCACTTAATACGTAATGCGTGCTGTCATTACGTCAAGTTGGAGAGAATCTCCCCAGAATCGATTCATTCAGAGTTTGCAACCCTCACCACGGCGCCTCTGTCCTCTCCAAGTTACATTTTCCCACGTTATAAATGTTACGGTGACAATTCTGTTCTATTCTGTGCATGATGGCAGCAGCAATACGTTGAGGAGCTCCATGCCAAAGTGGAGGTCTGCTAGCCATGAGAGAGGGCTTCAGCTGGGAGTTAATGAATGGGGCATAATGAATACATGAATGAGATGCGGTCAGATTCCAGCCAGCGTGAGTTCACGACGGGTCGCCAACTTTCACGTTAATCTGACAAACATTCCAAAGTTCGCTATGAATTTCTGTATAATGCGGAAATCAATAATTAGTTTTGGGATCCCAAAAACATGACGCCACAGGAATGGACGCCACTCGTATTGTGCTATGAAGCCAGGGCCCATGCCCGAAACGTTGGCAACTTTCCAAATATGTACACATACACACATTGAGCCGGCTGGAGACGCTACGCTCGCGATCGCCGCCAGTGCGGAGTGAAACGGAGCGTGCTACCTTGACCCGCGCCAGGTCGTGGGGGTTGAGCACGGAGCCTTGGTAGAACTCCACCTGCGTGAAATGTCGCTTGAACAGCGCCTCCAGCTCCAGGTTCGGAGAGATGCTGCGAACGAGACGTCGAGTTCTCCGAATCTATCCAGATTCCCCCCCCCCCCCCCCGCGCTAATCCGTACGTATCTCTCGTGCCGAAGAGCTGGTCCGTGGAAGCGGATATCGCAGAGCTGCGTCTGAGAGGCCTGCAAGTGGCCTCCGGTTCACACGGCGGAGGGCAGCAAGAGATGTGTGGAGATCTTCATCCGAAATTTGGCAAACATGCACCCTGACGCCGGCACACGACGGTGCTACCCTTACGCATGACGTCATGGGGATCTTTAACGTCCACTGTGAGCAAAACAGATGGCGCGTAGTGTTGTTATGATTCTAACACCTGCCAGTCATAACCAGGGCGGCCAATGGATTCGAACTGTGAACGCACCACCACGCGTGTGGTGGTGAAGGACTACGAGCAACATTTCGGGCCTTTTAGGGGCAGAAATATTCACCCCTCGCCCACTCGACTCGCTCACTCGATCGTTGCGATTCAGGGTCACGCTTCCATTCAAATATCGATTATTTCTTAACATTGTTATGAATTGTAGCCCAGGGGGAGCAGGAACCCATTACCTATAATGCAAGCGATTTGAAAAAGTCATGGATTCATGCACGTGTGTATCGTGAGCTTGAGAATCGATTCATCCATGTACGAATCGCTGCGTCGGTCCACCTGGATTTGTATTACAATTGTTAAACTTGCGTTACACCAGCAGTGGGAATAGGGGCCAGGCCGCGAGGTCTGTAGCGCAGTGACACTACCCAACTGCGACCCACATGTACACGTACAGGGTTGTACAGCTTGCTTAATCACGTTTTGAGCACAGTAAAATAATTAACCAAAGCATAGAATGGGCATTTGAAATCGACCCCTCCCCACTGAGTAATGCCCCCCCACTCCCTGCCTCCCCCACCCCACAGCCCATCAATAATAATAGGATTCGTGGATAAGAGGATGACGGATGGAAGTGGTTTCTTGTCACTTTATCTATCACGATGATGAGCGAGGCTACGATTCTTGCACGGTCGTTTTGAGTCAAATTCACAGCCTCGGTCTGGGAGAGGTCACGGGGGGGAAAGGTGGGGGGGCCCGCGATGCCTGCCTTAAACATTGAATTACATTTTAAAGAAAATAAAAATGACAAATTATTTTTTAATGAAATATGTTGATGAAATTAACAATTTTTTTTAGTTAAATAAAAATAATGAATAGTATTTCCACAACCAAGTTCGCTGAGAAAGTGCGCCACGCAGGAAGTAGAGATCCCTTGATGAGTTGCGCCTCATAAATGTAAATTGTTATTTAAAGAAAGCACCTAATGGAACGCGTTTCCATGGCCACGTCCAAGATTTCACAGAAGTTATCAAAATTCGCGATTTATCCGTGGCGACCTGCGGTGACCTCCACGCCGCCACAACGGCGGCAGCAGCGCGAGCGACGAGGGGGGGGGCGGGCGGGCGGCGCTCACTTGTGCAGGAAGACGATCTCCACGTTCACGTCGTCACGGTCCTTGTGCAGGAAGTCCTTGAGGAAGTTGGAGACGCTCTCCAGGGTTATGTGGCCACACACGACTATGTGTCTGAGGAACGCAAACAGCGCAAGGGCTCGGTGTGAACGGTCGGCCGGCGTTCATTTAACCCCTTTCCCCATTCCGATGAAGTACGTACGCTTACCTCATCGGCATTAAATCCGATTTTCCAGTCCGATGACGTACGTGAAAAACTAAACTCGACTAACTTCATCGGTACCGAGGCTCTCGCAAGGCCATGCGGGAGGGCGTGTGGCACAGTTTGGCGCTGGCTATCATAGAGTGCGGTCATGTCGCTCCGGTTCTTTACAGTGAGTCAAAAATAACGGAGCTATGCCTCTCTAAAATAAAATTAGCAGCCGAGCCGCTTGCGAGTTCTGAGATTCAGCGGCGAACAGGACACCCACCCCGCAGCTTGCGGACGTATCAGAATGAGAAAGGAGTTCATGGGCACCGTCGCCACTTTTCCACTGGCCACATCCGTGCCGAGCCTGGGGCAAGGCCCTCGCGGTTGAGGGTGGTTTTTCACTGCCAATTTACAGCACCGAATCGCAACTGAGTCATGCTACGCTGGCCCTCAGAATGCCATCTCAGTCTGGCTCGGGGCCCAGCAGGGCCAGGAGCTACTAGAGCATTCTCGTTGCGTGCGCGACGTCGGTGAGGAGCACGGCGTCGCTGCGTCGTCTCACGTGTAGGCCTCAACGGTTCTGCTCGGCTTCTGCAGTGGAAAACCGACGTGGCACTTCGCTGTGCCGTGCCAGGCTGGCTGGGCACGGCCATGGCACGGTTCGATTGGTACAGTGGGGGGAAAAAAGGGATTCTGTTGTAGTCATGTTTTTAGTCCAGACGATGGCAACCTATTGGAATTTTTCTAAAATGTAAATAGCGTGAAAATTCATTTCAGTTATTCTCTGCATCCATTTGACTCGAGCAGTCAAAAAATGTTGCCCAATCAAAGTGATTCAAGTGTTGGCATGGGGCACGAAATTCCCCTTTATCGCTAATCTGGGGTCGGGTACTCTGATAACAATGTAAACGTTACATTTCATTGTGTTCTCAAAAAGTCATTTCCACTGCATATAATCATCCATGATCTATCCGCTGCTGGGAAAAGGTCAACCAAAGCTCTTGCTAACTCTCAGGTCTTATTCATCGAGCTGCACACAATCTGATCTCGTCGTGTCTTCTCCACGCTGGATGCCCTCCCATTGACTGCTACTGCGTCGGAAGACTCCGACAATGGCCATAATCTTCTTGGTTCTTTCGGTAAAGTCACGTAGAAGAGAAATAATAAAATAATACAAATAAAACATAATAAAATAATTCTCACGACGTTTCGGCCACAACGCAAGCAGCCGTCCTCACCTGAGGACGGCTGCTTGCGTTATTATTTCCCTTCTACGTGACTTTATCGAAAGAACCAAGAAGATGAATCCCTCCAGTCACGAAAGCTTCAAATTGAAATGTAATGGCCATAATCTCTTCTGGCGATGTGTCCAGCCCAAACTCGTTCACTTTTTTCTTTAAACAATTCTATGATCTATAAGTTATTATTCCCGTCTCTTAAGTGCCATTACAAGTATGCATCTCTCCATGCTTCTTTGCACACTTTTCATAGCTTGTTCCACTTTGTTGGTCAATGTCAAATGTTTCTGATCCCTGTGTCATTGCGCGTGTTCTACACCCGATGCACTCATCTCTTTTCGCTACAACGCAAAGCACCGCTCTCGTGCCTGACCTCCGTGTGGTACTTTACCTTTCTCCTGGCATTTCCCCGCCCGTGTGAGGTTCTGCCTTCCTAGTCCTCTTTCTCTAATCGTGTCTGCCTCGGGCCATCGTCTCCCACATCCAATTCGCAGTCCTTCACATCCTCGTTCACTGCCTGGATCCACCCCTCTCTCGGCCCTGCCTCTCAGTCTCCGCCCCAGTGCTTCCATGTTCATTGCCTCTCTTCCCATTAGGTGTTCCTCTCTTTCAACGACATCCTCGCCATCTGAGTCGACTATCTCTCGGCTCGTCTTCAATGGATACTATTGTCTCCAATGTTTGAGCCGATCCAGTTTTGTAAACCCCGAGATCTCATCTTATCATCATTCCTGTGGTGCGCAACTTCCGCTGCTTCCTGGCTGCGAGTCTAACATTCAAACCCCAGCGTAGTGCTTTGAGCTAAACGTAACAACAGCCGGCGAGTTGAAAATTCTCTCATAAGCATTGGGGCCTGGCTCATCCTTCATTGGTCAGTCCAGAGTCCGTGGTGGGAATTCCACATCACTATCGGCTGGGGAGATATTTCCATGGAACAGCCACTCGTGAGAATGACGACGACCGAGTGGCAACCAGGGGAGTGAACGCGCCCAAGGGGACCCCCACCGGGGAGATGGAGTGAATAAATCCGCTCGCGTGCAGGCGCTGGGCGGATTGTGATTACATCGCAGGATCGTGAGAGATGGCAGTGGCGTGGGGAGTCCTTCATCCAGCAGTGGAATGATAACGGCTGCGTGATGATGATGGAGGAGCCATTTCTGAATTCCTACAAAATGGCCCGACTCCGCGGAGTGGAGCAGCAACCTCCGCATGACGACACGAGAGTGAACATTCTTTGCGGCAATACACAAACCAATCGAACATAATTAATCACGCATCGCGTTAGAAGGCAGCGCTAACGAGGAATGTGCTGCTTGTGAGTCGTGCCCTGTGCATCTCACCCACCGCACTGCGTTCTTATCGTTCTTATCGTTTATCCTACGAAAATTACGTTCAGATATAAAAACAATTGACCTTGATCTTACTACAGCTTGGCAGGTCCACAATTTAGGCAACCTCACGGTCAACAATGGCACGTATAATAAACACAGATGTTATTTGAAAGGTAATTATCTACATTTGTTGATAATTACGGCTTCTTTGTGGAATAAGTGGGGGGTTCGACTGGCGCGCATCAAACGGAATGCACCGCCACCATCCCAGCGTAGATGAAAGCGTCACTTCGTCCAAGTACATCCGGCACCGCGGAAATTTGAGCGCATTTCTCCCCTACCAAGAAAGGTGAACACGTAATTTTCCCCGATGTGAATTACGGTTCCTGATTGCTTGACGTGGTATGCCCAAGGAAAACACCACCTGGCGATCGTACCGATGAGAATTCTGGCAAGAAGCGCACAATAATGCTGGATGTAATTGAGAGGGAAACGTCGTACTCAAATTGTAAATGTTGTGGATTTACTCTTAAACACACCGGTGGGCTGAAGTAGTAACTAATTGGCACATTTTGTTTAAGTGACAAACCTTACTAATTGGCTGTGTTGGGTGCTGGCTATGTCAACGACACATTTATACTTAGGCGAACTAACCAATAAAACGTTAATTATGAATAATATTGGGCACGAAAGCCTACGTGTCAAACTGACTCACAACCCCACACCTTTCAAATTGTGTCCGCAATGTGCATCCAAATTTGCGGAACTGCCCAGCTGCATCATCGCTTTCACACCTCTCCATTTCTCTGCTTCTTTATTCTATTTCCCAATCGTACTGGGAACGGGCAGAGCTCTATGGCTACGAAGCAAATTACGATTTGTAGGGGGAAGAAGAAAAAAACCTCGACACGTTTGTCATCGCCGTGTTCTTGTTATTTCTGCTTGTCCAATAAACGTGGAACGTTGGGCCAAACTTCGTCCAACGGTTCTACCCGCGCGCCAACGTTGGCCCGACGTTGCATGTTTACTTGGTGTGCACTGCTGCCAGCGACATGATCGCCAAATAATTTGTTTAGATTAATGGAGATTCATAGAGCGGTTGGATATGACCAGAGCTTAGTTTGAGCCGGAGTCTGTCCAGATTAGCGGCCTGGACAATAGCATCCACTCCCGACACATAACATCCAGTATACCTCGCTGAGACTAGCGCTACTAATCACAGCGCCTACAACCAGTAACTAGTGACCTGGAACAAAAATACATATCTCGATGGAGAAATGAAGCCCTGGATATAACACGAGTGAGTATTTGTGTGTGAAGGGCACTGCATGGCAGATGCACAGGTGATGTAACGTGTGCACAGAGTGTGTGAACATGGAGGGGTGTCAAGGGTGGAAATCAGCAGTGGATTGGCGAGCTGTAACGAGCTGACTCGGACTACAAGGGTATGGAGTGGAACGCGGTAGACCCATTTGACGCTTAGTGGGGGGCTCTGGATCTGGCGCCTTGGCTTTTGCCTTCCCCCCAAGAAGCCAGCTGATTTGGCATGTCATCGCCTGGTCACAAAGCAACTGATGCAAGGAAGGCTGGAATCTCTGCTGGCTGTTGATGGCAGTGGCTGCTCGTCCCATGCCGACCTACCCTCCAGTCTTCCATTTTCTGCGTTACTTGCACTTCATTTTATAGATACAAATATTCGGGGTAGATAAAAATGTACTCATTTGTTTGCCGAGTCATTTGGCCGTTACAGTATGAGGATTGACTCAGTGAAACTCGGTTCCCCCAGCCGTCCGTTCTGTTGAATTCCTGTTGCTGTTCAAGGTCAGGCTTAAGAACTTTCCTCCTCTTCTTCCTCTGCCTGCCTCATTCTGCAAAAGCACCATGCCCACTGTTTCTATGCGGCATATTGACATGCTATATGAATCCAAATTGTATTGTACCATTGCATATTACTGCTGTAGTTTAACAGGTGGTGACATTCTGTTCATAAGCAACCTGTTGCGTACATTATGAGGTCCATCGGTAGACTGCACAGAATTCCTCCGTAAGATTACATTCAGGGCTTGATTGTAAGCCGAGCCTGACCGAATCCGTGGCCTGGAAAATATTTCTACACACCGCACCCAGTATAGCTCTCACCAGTCTCGGGTTCTCGAGACCAGACCTTGGCCTCAAGGTCAGCTCGAGGACATTTTCTCAGCTCTCATCCTTGGCCTTGGCGTTCGCCCGAGGACTTAGCTTGGAGGTACCGGCCTTCACAATGGCCTTGACCTAGAGAATCTGGCCTTGACAGTTGCCTCCACCTGGAGGATCCAGCCTTGACACTGGCCTCTACCTAAAGGATCCAGCCTTGACACTGGCCTTCACCTAGATGATCCATCCTTGACATTGGCTTCCACTTAGAGGATCTGGCCTTGACACGGACCTTGAGCTAGAGGATTCAGCCCTGACACTGGCCTCCACCTAAAGGATGTGGCCCTGATACTGGCCTCTACCTAGAGGATCCGGCCTTGACACTGGCCTCCACCTAGAAGATCTGGCCTAGATACTGGCCTCCACCTGAAAGGCTTCCGGCATTGACCTCGACCTCAGGTGTCCTAGCCTTGGATCCAATGCTGCCTCTCGCTCTGGCGGTCGCTGCTCACCACGTGACGACCTACTGCGGTCTTCCATTTGCTTTGTTGCTTGTACTTTATTTTATCACTGTGGCCCCAGGTCACTTTTGACAAATGGGACTATATCCCGTTAAACTTGAGGTCACATCTGGTAGAAAAAAAACTTAAATTTGAAATTACTAGCAACCCAGCAAATATTCACTGAAAAATTAAGCCCCGGTTACCTGCACTCACAAATAAATGTCGGTGGGTGCGCATCCACTTGAATGCAGTGCAACAGCCGTAGTGGCACCACACACGACGTGCAAACATGCGCGCTGCCAACACAGCCGATCGGCATGACAGGGATCGTGCAAAAGCATTTGCGAGAAAACACTCATTACGCCGAGCGAACGGACGCGCTCCCGATTGCGCTCGTTACGAAACCTCCATCAGTGCATGTCGTAACAGCTGCTCCAGTCGGGCTAGAAAAAAAATCGGACACACAGTCTTTGGAATGCTGACGATCACCAAAGAGGTTTAAATCGCTGCGTGTGCATTCAAACCATTTTCGAGCCTTCGCTTACATAATATCTCGTGAGGCTCATCGACATTATTCAACAGCCACGTTTCATATTCAAATTTTAATCAGGAGTGTGACAGTTGTTGCTTAGGTCGCCCTCCTCCTGCCTGGTCTCTGTGCACGTGTTACGTGGCGGGAGAGCGAGTGGCTTTCAAGCGGAAGGGAAGGTTGTGAGTTAAAAAATCCTCATTGGGAGTTGACATCCTTCCGGGGTTGATATAAAATGGATTCCACTTCGTGGGGGAAGTCAACAGTGGTTGTCCTATGGATAGACTCGCCCCTGTCATGGGAATGTGGAAATTGCACCAACTGGCTCAGGGATTGTAAACCGGGGAAGAACTGACTGAAAACGCAGGTTTAATACTCTGCTTCATTGTAAAAAAATTGGGACACATCGCGCAAATAAAATGTGTGTCATAAACCCTCCTCGACCCGATGCAGTCACACGAAGAAATGTGCCAATGGGATTGCACAGATGGTGTTGCTGAAGCAGTTATGAACTTGCCACGTTTGTTTACGCCACAAACCCTATTAATCGGCTGCGTCGGGTGGTGAAGGGTTTGCGACTCACGTTATCTTACGTATGCAATCTAACCCGAAACTAATCATTTATGATTCATAACATTGGCCGCAGAAAGCTTATCCACAGCATTAGATGTAGTATTCACTCACTGGTAACATGTCCCATCGTGTTAAGACTCCCACTCCTAGCTTCGAAGGTGGGCTCTAAGTCATAGCAAGGCCCGTGGGCCACTGGCGGTCCCCGGTAGCCTTTAGTGTGCCCCCCCCCACAAATGTGAAAAGACCCCTTCCAGGTGGTGTGGCGGCCCTCGCGCTGCTGACGTCTTATCGGCGAAAGTGCTCCCTCCTAATAAAATTAGTGAAGAACACTGGACTAAGTGGTCGGCGGAGACCGCCTGGAAGGCGGGCGGCCTGAGCAACAACGGGCGACGAAGTCACACGCGTAAAGCGATGATGCGAGTCGCAATCATGGCTGCGGACACCTTGCATCCAAGCCACATCCCGTCAGCGTTCTTTGCAAACGTTCGAGGCCGCATCGCTCATTCGGTCGACTTACTTTCTGCCCCGCGTCGGATTATATTTCCCACCGTATTTCTTCCGGTTTAGGATGAGCGCAGCGATTTCTGGCACGTAGCGAGCAAACATTGCCTACATGCATCATGGAATAGAAAGAGAGCATGCGGAGAGGTGTCTGCCTCTGAGCGTGGATGTTTTGGGGGGGTGATGGGGGGTGAGGCAGGGGGCAGGAGGTGAAGGGAACATGGGGGACATGGGGAGGATGGGGAAACCTCTGTGTACAGCATGCCATACTTACTTCCTTCCACTAACAGCACTATAGGTGCCACCATATTTCTTGCGGTTTCCTATTAATTCTATTATTTCAGGGACGTAGCTGGCAAACATGGCCTACAAGAGGAAAACAGGAGAGAAGAACAGACAAACACAGAGACTAAAGACAGCAAGTTTCGAGTGCAGAGAAGGAACTGAAGAGCTTAACTGTTGTCGGGTGTTTCACAGTCCACCGGTTGTATCCGTGACCCGTGTCGCACTCACACATATGCTCGTGAAGCACGTGGTCATTTTCTTTTGTATTACTTTTACCAAATTCTTAAAGTTCAGATCACAAATTGTGGATGTGAGTAAGATTAATGATTTACCCTTACGCGAGGTTTTTTTTTTTTCCCCGTGGCGCAATGAGCAGCGATTGCTTTACGGGAGAATTAAATTAATGTCGCGCTAGTTGCGTTTGCAACTCTGCAACTTTCTTTTAACTCATCCTGAGCACTTTTGAAAATGAACGGAAACGTAGGAAATAGCCGCCACGGTCACACGTCGAGAGCGGGGTCGGACACACGGAGACAACGAAGCATTGTCGTGAGGCCATGTTTTTTGTTGTTGCAACAAACATAAACCAGTGGAGGATTTCTTGCGATAAATCTGCCCGTGCGTACAAGTGCGCCTAATTAACATGACCGGCTTGCCAGTAAGAAGCGGGTGGGACGGGGGGGGAATAACTGGGCTAATTTGAAGCAAAATGCGAGTTTGTTTGCGTTTTACGTTCACGGCTGCCACTGGCATCGTGCGATGGTGATTCGAGTTGATTTTTTTCAGCTTGTCCCCCATTGTAAATATCTGTGGTTGGATGAAATGTGCCACCTGTAGCTAATATAAAATCGAAAGTGTGTTTCACTCGTAGCACGAATGCATTATAACCACGGTTGGGAGTAGAATAGAGTTTAGCTTTTGTAAGAGAGAAAAGATATATATACACATTTTTATTCATTCTATCTATTTTCCCAAACAGCTTCCATTCGGAATACACGGACGGCACTTATTCGAATTTGAAAAAGTTAATTGGAAACCTGCAGCTTGCAATGGGGAAATGCAATTGTCTGGGAAGCAACTCAAATCGTTATAACTTTGAGTTCATATTAAACAGTCGGGGGTATAGTCATCACTTTAAAGGGGACAATAATTTAAATGCCTAACACTGAAAATGTGCCTCGATGGTGATGAAATGCCAAACCATCTCACGGAGAAGTGTTACCAGCAAAATAATTTAGTTATCCATAAAGAGTGTGGATTGAAGTCGTTATGAAGCACGTGGTGCTTTGCCGATTGAATTTAATTCCAGTAAAAAATAACAACAGTCACGTCAATTGTTTACGAAGACTCGTGAAGTCCCCATTGGAGTCTCGCAAGGCTGTCGCTGCAGGATGGTTCAGAAGTGTTACCAGCAAAATAATAGTTATCCATAAAGAGTGTGGATTGAAGTCGTTACGAAGCACGTGGTGCTTTGCCGATTGAATTTAATTCCAGTAAAATAACAACAGTCACGTCAATTGTTTACGAAGACTCGTGAAATCCCCATTGGAGTCTCGCAAGGCTGTCGCTGCAGGATGGTTCAGAAGTGTTACCAGCAAAATAATAGTTATCCATAAAGAGTGTGGATTGAAGTCGTTACGAAGCACGTGGTGCTTTGCCGATTGAATTTAATTCCAGTAAAATAACAACAGTCACGTCAATTGTTTACGAAGACTCATTGGAGTCTCGCACGGCTGTCGCTGCAGGAGGGTTCTGCTACATGGGGATGTTGGGGGGCAGGTTCAGGAACGAGTGTTTCTGGCTCCATGCCGCAGGAACCCAGAGAACCCCGCAGACGACCCAGTGAATCGATTGCATTCTCGGGGAGGTGTGTATTGTTGGTAGCGATCGCCGTGAAGTATAATGTGTGTGTATGACGATGTCTCGAGCTGAACTGGAGGGGGGGGTGTAATGCCTCGTGGATTAAAATCGATCCGTGCGTCCACGGTGCACCTTTGGATTGCGCACGTACGAACAAATGTTTTCATTATTATTATTGCGTTAAATCGTAGCATGTTCACCTGACAAACGCTAGAGGCACTGCCATTCACCGCATCGTCAATGAAACGAATAGATTCCTGAATCGATTCACGACCACAATCCTAGATGGGCCATCAAATTGTACCACGGAGGCTTTTGCCACGGTTGTGATGTACGACTCGCCGACGTGTTTTCGGGCTGCTCCGCGATTTGCCCGGCACAATGTCCGACGTTTCATTCCAGGAACCAAATGGTTTTTTTTTCTAATCAATCCCTGGTCTGCGTAGCTCTTTTTCAGAAGCGACCTGGCCACAAATGATAGCTCAACGAAGTGGCTTTTTTTTGCTGTCTGTTTGTTCCAATCGAGCTCCTGATGACGATGCTCCCCAGCACGTGGGGCGGAACGTCGGACGTCGTGCCGGATTGCGCGTGGCGGCGGCGGCAACAACCCTGGTGGAACGTCGGGAAAGCTGTGCTCGCCGAATCGCGACTCAATTGCCGCGAGCCGATTGGGTGGGGACGGTCGATTCAACGGCAAGGGTGAGAAGGGCTACCGCCTCGCAGTTTCTATCGCAACGGGAAACCCTCCAGTGGCCGTTATGTTTCTTGGCAGAGAGGAAAGACGAGAAGGGATTCACAGATCGAGGGGGAAGTCTGGATTAATACAGAAACCGCAAATCCAATTAAATTATAGCACATTCAGAGTATATAACAACTTGTTAATTATAATGATAATAATACTGGCTTAATAACGTACGGCCCTTTGTCAAGCCACTGCTGTATGCGAGCTGGGTCAGTGATTGATTATTATTTTATTATTTGACCACGTTGGTCAGTGTGGGCACACCAGGAGCAGTTCAGATAAAACTTGACACCGATTTTGAACCACGGCCGGGAATCGAACTCGGGTAACCAGGTTCGTAGCAGCGTAGAATCAGTGGCGAGTGGTATCTCAACGGGTTCTGAGCTCCCCCACCCCATCATCAAAAACACGCACTGACCAGCGTGGTGAAGTATGGCCAAACAACCCCCACGACTGGAATGTCGGGGGGAGGCATTCATCCAGCAGTGGAATGATAAACAGCGAAAACGTTTAATGCAATACAACAATGTTAGTCACAACAACAACAACAACATCAAGACAAACCTGTGTTGGATCCTTTTAATACAACACTGAACAGTAGCATTACCACTCCCTCATGGGTAATTATGACAGCTCGTTTAAGATGTAAAATCGTTCCCATGACCCTAAATTATTTAATGGCTAAAGGGCTTCCACGAGATTGATCTCTACACAGCCCTTCTATCATGTCATTTGGTCTACTCTTCCGCGCTGGCCAGGAATCTTGGAAGAGGTGGGGGAGGACCCACAATGCACCCCACCACACACGACCTGCCGATCGACTCATATGTGGTCGATCGTATTTTGTAAATCACTTTCTGGCTTAAATAAAAAGAAAAACCTGATAATTTTTTCCTAATCGTCTGTTATTTAAACCTCTAATAATTTAGTCTTCAGATATTTTCGATGCAATAATAAGTAAATACCAATATTTGCATTCACATTGTGCCCAAAATGTAACGAAATACGTCTCTGTGCGCAGCTTGCCCCTGTGTGCGTCACAAGGTGACTGCATCAGCCGACAAGTGGGCATCGGCCTGCCACGAGGTCGGATGGGGGTGGGGGGGGTGTAGCGATGATCACTATCAAAACAAACCGTGGGTACTTATTTGGTATTCAGGCTTTTCCCATGTGACAACGCAAGGCTGTCGCATGGGAAGGCTGCGATTCACAGACCAGAGTCTGCAGTAGGGGGGCGATGTGAATATGCCCATTCTCAATTGAGTCAACAGTATACACATTGTGATTTTAAGCTTTCGTGACTGCAGGGATTCATATTCTTGGTTCTTTCGGTAAAGTCACGTAGAAGGGAAATAATAAAATAATATTTATATAATTGTTTTATATTTATATTACTTTATTATTTCCCTTCTACGTGACTTTACCGAAAGAACCAAGAATAAGTATACACATTCTTACTTAGGCCATCCAATTTCGTCGGGCTTAGGGTATAAAATTACCTTCGTATTAAGCAGTCCTCTGATGATACTAACAATAATAAAACTTATAATATAATAGAAACATTCGTTTTCAAGTGCGCAGAGACGTACGACCTCTCACCAGTCCCCCGAGGATGAAGAAGACCATGAAAAGCCGTCCCAGGGTGGTCTTGGCGTAGACGTCCCCGTAGCCCACGGTGGACATGGTGACCATGAGCAGGTAGACGCACTCCCAGTACGTCAGCTCCTGCGAGTTCTGGAAATTGTTCCAGGGGTCGCCCGAGTTCTCCACCTGCCCGCAGTGGCGCCCACTCGTCGTCATCATCATCGTCACCATCGTCATCATCGTCACCATCGTCATCATCACTGTCGTCACCATCATAGTCATCATTGTCATCATCGTCATTGTCATCGTCGGCATTTTTATCGTCAGCATTATTATCATTGTAGTCATTATTATCATCGTAGTCATCATTGTCATCGTCAGCATCGCTATTATTATCGTCATCATCGTCATCATCGTCATCATCAGCAGCCAGAGTGAAACATTTGGCCGAGTCCATCCATATCGGCGAGCCGGAAAAAGCTTCGGCTCCCCGGCCGCGGAGTTAGCAAGTTATCCCTGTGGAGGTCCGGTCCCGGGGATTGTTCTGCATTGACCTCAACGTATACCCCAAAGTCTATAACACCTGTTATGCATGGCAGTCACCTATCCAGGGACGATCCAGGCTCAACCCCGCTTGGCTTCTGAGGTCGAGCGAAAGTGGCTCCGACAAACTCACCCGCAACGCGCCTTACCTCGTCAGTTCGTTGCAGCAAAGCAGATTTGAGCCTGGACAGTGCTCGTATGGGCCTCCCGCCCGTACCTACCAAGCGCCGGTGGCCAGGAGACGGCAGTACGGAAAACACCGATGTTGTATTCTACTTCTGTGCTCCCCACACTCGCCAACCGGCGCTGACCAGCGCGGTCGAACGATGGCAAAATAACCCCCAGCATTCACGAGGCACGGGGAGGCCCTAATCCAGCCTGGGACTCGAATGAGCGCCATGCGTGCGCGCGTATGAACGCTCGCTGGCGGTGTTTCGGTTTTTATCGGACGACGTGATTCGAACGGACGCGAGAGCGAAGCCACAAACGCATACCAGGTGGATGAAGCCAGCCGCCGTCAGCCATGTGCTGATGAAAATGGACAGCAGGTTCACCAACTTTATAGAGTTGCTGGAAAATACAGAGGCACGGCACATCTGTTAAATAACTTAAGGTCGTGGATATATAATCGCGTCGCGCCCACGCTCGTCAACAAGGTGGGGGGGGGAACAAACGTCTGGGATCGTTGAGACTTAATAGGTGTGCAACGATGCACCGATGCGTCGATTTGAAATGGATGTTTTTTTCGCGCGTGAGACGCGCGCCGTCAAATCGCGAGAGAATCGACGCTCCGATTGTTTACGCGGCGTACGTTGCACGCGTGCAGCCACGAGAGGAGAGGCACCACTGTTGCTCACCACAACGCGTAAAAGGCGACGTCGGGCCGTGAATGCATTCGTGGTGTTGAGTCGCAAAGCGTCCGTCAGAATGGGATACGCACGATCGACGCCTAATCAATATCCTCACGTCACATGTAGAACAATGGTTGTGCAGTGGTCAGCGTGTTCGTTGCATTATGTGGAAACCCGAGTTAGATTCCAAACCACGGCTAGCGTAAGTGGCGAGCGATGCCTGCCCCCACCCCCGAACCCCCCCCCCCCCCACTTCACCAACCCGCACTGACCAGCGTGGTGAAGTATGGTTAAACAACCCCCATGACAGAGATGGCCTAGGGAGGCCTTCAGCAGTGGATTCACAAAGGGCGGTAAATTGTCAATTATTTTAATTACTCGCCTTTTGCCCGTCCAAGGACGGGTGTATTGCAGTAAATCTGAAACTTGCAAGCGACAATCAGAGTGCCACGTGATATTCATTACATTAATTCGTGTGCAATGTGTCAGGGCGCAGTGACACAGACTTATTACATGTAAAGGTTATATAATCCCTTGTTCATCACGACGTCCTTTTTACTTCGATGTCTCAACAGCGTTACAGAGATCGCGCGACGTGAGGGTTCTGCCTCTGTAGTGAGTTGACGCTGAGGAGGGGGAGGAGGCGCCTCGCCCCCCCATGTGGAGTGACATCAGCCGCTAATTATTATGAATGGGGGGGGGGGGAGGTCCATTTGGAGCACAATCACCGCATGGGACTTCCTTTGCCAGTACCTAAATGTGAAGATAAGTTTTCCCCTTTTCTGGCAACAAAACAACTGCGGAGCAACGATCACCATTCCTGCATGCCGAAGAGAGTTTTACATCGGTGCAGGATTACCTGCTGCGACGTACGGATTGGGAACACGGGGACATTGACAAAGAAAATGCAAGGAAAGCTGAAAAGTGCGCAAAGAAGCGTGGAGAGGTGCGTGCTTGGTGTTTGCACTGACAATAAGAGGAATGCACCGATCGGAGAACATATGCGCGTTGAAAACATCGAATTTCCTCTATATTGACAGTCGACTTGGGCAGGACACGTCGCGAGAAGGGGATGCTGGCCAGTGATCGCGACTAAAAACTAAAACTATTTTTATTTTTCCAGGTAAGGTCCACTGAGCTATTTAGCTAATTTTCAGAACTGACCTGGCCACAAATGAATGATATGCATTCATTATATAAATTTTCTTAAAACAACCTATTTATTAAAATCTCCCAGAATTTCTTTCCATATCCACCCGGAGATCGACGCCAATTCCCACAGAGACTCCCCGCCAGTGCGGGAGGGTTGGCAACGCTAACCGCGGTGGGTCTAAAAAAAACTATTTTTTTATTTTACCAAAGCCCACTGAGCTACGTAGCTCTTTTTCAGATACGACCCGGATATCACATGATATCTCAACAGATTGGCTTATCATCACGTGGACACTGTAAATGTGGGGGGAGGGGGAAGCGGAGGAGGTGGAGAAAAATCCACGCGACGAACGGGGAGAGAGACACGCAAAACGCCAAATATACAGCAGCAGGTGTCAGGGTCGGGATTGAACCCACGATTTCCTGCATACCAGGCGAGGTAGTTAACATCTCGCCACTTGCGACGCCTGAGTGATGCCAGCCAGAGGAGAGGAAGACTCCCCAGAGGACGTCTGCCCCGAAGAGATGGACCCATGAAATGAGCATTTGTGCATGTTTCATCGCACTGGTGGGATGGGCAACGGATCGTGTGGGCCCTCATCCAGCAGCAGATAGATCATGGCTGATGATGATGATGATGATGATGCTGATGATGGTTTGTTATTTCATTTCTAGGTGCTGTCTACCTTAATGACGCAGTCAACAGCTACAGGTCATGTGACTTTAGTCGACAGCCAATGGCACTTCTGGTACGAACGCATACTTACTACCAGTGTCATTCGGACACTTTGCAACGACGGCATTTAAAAACGACAATGAATACATATATAATGTCACAGAAATAGTGCACATTTATGTAAAAGCTAATAAATTACGGTACTTTATCAATCCGCTGCTGGATGAAGGCTTCCTCACGCTGCGTCGGTCATGGGATTCGTTTGACCATACTTCACCACTTTGGTAGGCGCGGGTCGGTAACGGGTGAGTGCGCGGGTGCACGCGGACCAGTTCAGACATCGCTCGCCACGGCCAGGAATCAAGCTCACGTGGCTGGGTTCCGAGTATGCAAACGACTGCGCCGCCGCTCTCCCTCTGCCCGATTTAAATTCAGTGCCCAAGCACTCACGGCTTAAAGAAGAAGAAGCCTTCAAGAAATGTTAAAATATATACATATCACCAGGACATTGTCACTGAGAAAGTATCCCATCAGATTTTTAATTCCAAAGCCCATTTCGACGTTTGAGACGGCCCGGGACACTCGTGCTAATGTAGCCCCCAAGCGTGACATTCAAGTGGATTATAAGGAGCTTAGAACTCGAAGCCGTATTCCGCTCAGAAACGACAACCAGTGCCCTTTGCTGGAATATCGCTACTCCCAGCGCTCGAGAAACTCATACTGCTTCTCGCCATGCACCAGAGTCCCCTAGTGTCGATGGACTTCTCTGGCCCAATAACATCTGGTAAATCCAGCAGCGTTTGTTTAACACGCTGCCGATGAGACCCAGAAGGTTGAAACCGATCCGGAGTTTGCTTTGCTTGGGAAAAAATACTGCACGTATGTATGGAGAAAATCTTTTTCCTACCGTACGTAGGCAACCGTACCAATCGGAGGAGCTTGATTAATTGTTCTTGGGGAAAGTAAATAAATAGGCCGTTTGACTAAACCACATTTTATATTTCCCCACGAAATCTAAGGTCGGCTAAGCTTTGTGTTTCAACGGACTGGTGAGACTTAAGGTGAACAAAAAATATACAACGTCAATCCACATCTACGCTCGTCCGCGTGCGTATCTCACGACTGCGCGAGCCGTGTGCATCGCACGCCGTATCGCGATCGGCGCGATCGGCGCAATCAGCGTGATCACCGTGCACGTTTTGACATCGCGAGGGGGCAAGCGCTCGCATGAGCACGCACGAGAAGGAGGGGGACACTCACCTCGTTTTCAACACGTTTAGGAACTGCAGAATTTCAGAGAATTGTATCAGCCGCAAGGCCCTGAGAAACCGTAAACCTAGGGGAAAAAAAGACACAACACACAATTCGATTAGAACACAAAGTTACTGTTTGAAAAATCATATCTTTAAACTGCTTTTTTGTGCTTAATTTGTTGTCCTTCCCCCACACCTCCGAATAGTACGGACTATGGACGGTGCGAAAGAAGTTCAACATACATGCTTACGTACGATAACTGCGAGGACAACTCTCCCCTCTCTCCACCACTGCAGCCTGCACTCCTTTAATGGAGGAGGAGGAATAGACAAAACGACACAATCTCTTCCTACTGAATCTCCGTCATCATGGCCAGCAGTAGCGGCAGACCTCGACATTGGCACGTAAGCTCCTGAATCATAGTGCAGCCATATGCAAGAATGGAATTTCAACCGGATAAAATTCACAAGTGGTTCCTGAAGGTCAAACCGCCAGCACGCGGAGCGAAACGTCGGACGTCGCCGTGCCGGGCAACACGTGGTCAGACCTGTAACCACGCGGCGGCACACCTCGCGACGGCCTAAGCAGCAGAGCTCGGCACAAACCACTCGCGAGGTGGTGTTGGCGCTGCCCCTGCACGAGTGAACGGTCACCGTGACGTTCACGGCGCTGCTCACCCCAGTATTGGAAGCCCTCGAGGTAGCGCTGGTATCCCCGCTGGCCCTCCTCCTTGTCCTGGCTACTCTCTTTCTTGACGCGAAACCCCTTCTGGTAGAGATCGCCAAATGACTTCTTGCGGCGAGGCGGCTGGACCGTGTCGGAGTGGCCACCGCCACTCTCCGCTCCGCGGTAAACCAGCATCTTGCTGGAAATCATCGTCGCTCGCCGGCACGTTCCCTTTCGTTTCGATATTCAAATTTTAGTTTTTTTCACTTCGACCCGACGTCGCGACTGATCCCCACCGCGAGCTGCCGAATTATCTCCAAGCGCCGTTCCGTACTAAAGTGGCCAGCCGCCGAGTGGAAAGCTGTGCTCGCGCGGTTTCCCGTCGCGTGAATGAGGAGTGCGTAGATAGAGAGAGAGACAGAGAGGGAGACGGAGAGACAGACAGAGAGAGAAAAATAACTCGTGCTAACCCCGCGTCGTTTTATTTGCCACTGGCGGAGTTGAGCGGCCAGTGGGGAGAGGCATTGGATGGAGGAGTAAGCCCCGGTTGTAATGTTTTAGCGGCCGAGAGAAGCACTAATCCAGGAGGCCAGATGGCTCGCGATTCCAGCAGCTGTGTTTATGGGGAGTGGTGTCCGTGGGGCTAAAAGGCTTTGGAGAGCCTTGTTTGTGGAAAGTTTCTCGTTTGTCGGGAGCGTCCGGAGCCTTTCCTGCGAGTGCCGCACGGCTCCCCGTGGTAATTTCCAGGCTGTGCCCACGTGCTTGGTTGGGCGCGATGTCCGACGTTTCGCTTCCACGTATCATCTGGGAGCTTCTTCGAGGAAACTGGATTGAGCGGCCAGTTTTCTGCGTCCCCCGATTATACGGCAACACGTCCGTAGATCGCGCTGAGCAGCACAGCCCGGCAGCCACGTCAGAGAGTCGGCTGCTTAAACTATTAAATAATTATTTGACCAGGTAAGGCCCACTGAGCTATGTAGCTCTTTTTTAGAAGCAACTTATCACGTGAAAATGTATATCAGCCAAATACTCAAAACGCACGTTTCTCAATGTAGAGCGGAAAAAGAAAAATCCACACAACCACGGGGATAACACGCAAACTCCAAATATACAGCAGCAGACGTTAGGTTCGGGATCGAACCCACGACCTCCTGTAGATCGGCTGAGCTAGTTAACATCTCCTAGCCACCGTTGCACTTTTGGTGAGCTCCACCATGGATTGTCGTGGGAAATGGCTTTGAAAATGAAGAGGAAAATGAATAAGAGCAGTGGTGGATGATTCCCGATCACTATTCCAGGTCATCGGACTGTTGAAATAAGTTGATATGACAATTAATTTAATCATTCACTTTGTCCACGAGAGCCACACTGAGACTTTTCTTCAGGAGGTTTCTCTGTTAGGGTTTCATTCGAAGATATTTTCAGAATCAAAATCAGAATCTGTATTTATACTGGAGGAATCCGATGAGCTATAAATATCCTTTTCACAGGTGTCCAGAAGGCAGGGTTGAGCGAATGATGATGCATGTTTATTATACAAGTGGGCGGAAACCGGAGCACTCGCAGAAATCACACACACGCGCGAGGGAGCAACGCTTTATCCCCGTACAGATGGAAAGAGATGGCGATTCGTCCGCTTGCTGTACTGCCTTCTCCTGGCGAGCTAGGGTATGGCACTCCCTCGACACCCACGGGAAGGAAGTTTCACAACGGTTTGTGCGGTGACCACCAACACTCGCTAGCTCCACAGTGTTGGCAGCCACGTGCAGAGCCAATGGTGGTTGTCCGATTGGTCGATTCACTCGTGTCATAGGAATGTGGAATTTCCACCATTGGCTCCAGCGCTGTGAACAGCAGATGAGCACTGCCTCAACGATCGGTTTGGCAAGAGATCGCTTTCGCTGCTGATTAAGATGCTCGGCGCTGTTGTCAATCCACTGCTGGATGAGAGTTCTCCCCATGCTGTGGTGATTTTTTTAGTTTTTACCAAACTTAACCACGCCGGTCAACTTGGGATGGTGAAGGCGGGCAGCGTAGACGGTGTCATAGTACAGTACAACAATGGTTTTTTCCCTGCACCGCCCTCGACTGACAACGTGGCCCCTGATTCTTGATCACTCTTTGCAGACTTGTCCTAAAGCGTGCTGGGGGGGGGGGGGGGCGAAATCCCTCGGGTTTGTTTAACGAGGTATGAGAGTCGTGGGACATTTAGTTTTCCCAGAGTTGCCCTCGTGTAGGGGTTACCACCTGTCCAGGTTTGACCTGGACGTGTGGCAAGCCTACCCGCCACTCCGTTTAACCCGGAGAGTTCGCAGGAAGGCATCCGCGTTGGGGTGGCGAATTCATTTGATTTGTGCCGAGACCTGGTGCCGGAATTTTTGTTTTATTATGCGTGAACTTTATTACAGGCTACTGCAACAGTTCTGATAGACCCAGGCCAAACCGAGAAAAACAACAATAAGAGAGAAACACGTCCGGATTTTGTGTGTGGGGGACAAGGTGGCAACATTACAGGAACAGCCTGCAATAAACTCCGGCCAAATCCTCCAATCAGATTAAGACGCTAATCTGCTTTACGGCACTGCCGCCTGGGAGGCCGGTACAGTCCATCCCCTGCGTTGCGTTCACAAGCGAAAGCTGGATTAGTGCCGGCTCATTCTCTTCCGAAGAAACAAAAAGAGTCAGTGGCCAGGAGAGAGGGAGGGACGAACGAACGGGTGACGGGACGGACGTGGGCCTACCAATCCTGTCCGTCGCCACCCTCTGAGTCAACTGTGAGGGTTGGTCCATCTTGGACATGAAATAACTCTCTCCCTTGTAGTCCACACACACACACACCACCCGCTCTCTCACATGCAACGGCCACCTAGGACACAAACTGACGTGCCCACCCGTCAGGCAGAGATGACGTTGCTTTTCTCAAGAACATTTAAGCAAACCTCCCTATGGCGCCTAATAATCGTAACCTGAAACGCACTTGTAAGAGCACAATCCCGCATGTCTCGCTCAAGTCGTCCAGAGAGGACGTCGGAGTTTCAGTTCAGATGTCCCTCCGAGCTCAGTTCAGAATCAGAATCTGTATTCATCCTCGAGAAATACAATGAGCCGTGAAGCTCTTTTGCACAGATGTCCAGTGGGGGCGGGTCAGAAAGTTATGGCCACAAACAGTACAAAAAACGATAGGAGAGCAAAGTGTAGGAATGGTGACCAAATAACTAATAAATAAATATAAGCGAAGTTTCTAAGTAAAAAATTGCATAAATTCCACTCTTTGGACCGGTGCCAAAGAGTTTGGGTCCGTGTCATTTGTCCAAAACAAGTCAAAATGTTTTGAGATTCGCTCTCGGAATCAACGCGTCCTGCGAGCTGTGACGTACGGATTAGGAACACAAACAAAAACAAACTCGAGATTGAAAACCAATTTCTTGACAACTGCTGATTGTGCTTCGTTTGTTGTCCTTCCCCTGCACCTCTGCTTAGCACGGTACATGTGTATTATGTACGCAGGTAGAACTTCTCTCACCCCGTATGTAGCCGACACCGCTAATCGGAGGGTGCAGATAATGGGATGAAATCAATCGCGCTGTCCCGCGAGATACACTGAGTGTTCAAATTTTAGACAGCTCCTTTGGTTGCTCATATTAAATATCTGCAATTTAATAGCGTGCTGAAAATTGTTTTGTTTTTTTAAGTTTGAATTAAACATTACAGGAGAAGTTCTAATGCGCACTGCGCCCGAATTAGATTTAGCTGCGTCCGGAGGTTTTATGAAACACGAGGACACCTCTCCGTGCACTGGCATGCATCGGACATTGTTGAACACTACGATGGTCGTCATCGCCGCTGTCCGCGGGTGAAGGCCTCCTCAAGCCGTGACCCATCGGTCACGAGCCCGCGAGGCAAAATTCCACCCAGCACCTCCGCACCACGAGCTGAACTCATCACTCGGGCGCTTACCAAGTCTCGACTGCCCCTACTGGAGATCTGTGAAAAAAAAGAGCTTCATAGCTCATCGGATTCCTGCAGTAGAAATAAATCTCCTTATTCTGACACTCGACCACCGGCCGTCATGGCCTCTCGCGGCGCATCCTGCTGACAGCCCATTGCCAAGCCACTGCCGGATGAAGGCCTCCTCCCTCCCACAACTTTTCGCTCGTGCGGGTTGCTTTGACCGTACTTCACCACATTGTGTTAATACGGGTTGGTGAAGTGGGCGGCACAGGGCCGGTTCACATTATCAACTCGCCACTGACGGTTGTGCCTGGGCCTGGAATTGAACTCGGGCCGCAGGGTTTGTGGCGCGGCTCGCTAACCCGCTGCGCCGCACCACTCCACCCCGACTCGCTGAGAAGTGCAATAATTACAAAAAAACCTTCAACGACGCTCTCTTTGCGATGTGTAATTGGGCCTTCTCGACCAATTGTGTCGCGGCACCGCGCAGGGCGACGCAAACCTCATCCGCCCCCGGCTGTCATGAACCAAATACTTTGTTTTCATCACAGTCTCACACGGCATCAATTAAATGCTTGTGTCAATCAGTGTATGTTCCCATGTGCTTTGTGCCCTGGTTAAATATGCATGCGAAATGCAATGAAGCACCACGAAGCCATCTAAAGTTTGTGTATTATTCATGCTTCCGATGGTGTAAGAACATAAGAAGACAAGTCAGAATAAGTTGACGTCAACATGTTGTGTGCAGTTGCACGAGGCAATGTGACCCGCTGTTGGATGGGATTTGTGTTTCGCGATGAAGGCAACCGTATGGGCTTACCGAGCCAGCTCCTGTTGAGGTACACAGACACGAACACTGGAGGCACGGTGAAGAAATCCACGATGGAGTTCACCTCCAGCCAGAACCACAGCTTGTCGTTGGCTGCGATGAACTGCACGGGCACACGGAGCAGACCCGAGCACCCCACACGCACCCCACACGCACCGCACACGCACCGCACACACGCACACACGCACACGCACGCGCACAAACACGGCCATCACGCACGCTCACACGCATGCTCACGTGCACACGTGCTCGTACACGCACGCACGTGCACACATGTGCAGACCCAGGAATCACACACACACACAGACCCGGGAATCCACACACACGCATACGCACACAAATCCCGACATCCCCCATACACACACACACGCTCACGTATGCGTCCGAGCGTACACACACGCGAGCACACACACACACGCAAGGGTTGAGATTAATTTAATGAATTTTGGAAACAAGTAATCAAAGTACAGTAGCTTCAATTCCAGCAAAAGAGAGCTAATTTAAATTAAGACTGAGATTGTGTGTGTGTGTGTGTATATCCGTGTACGTGTGTGTCCTATATGACACGGCGCGCGGATTAATCAGCGCTCCCCCTATGTTACAGGCGTAACTGTTTATCCATCATTAGGCACGTGTAGCAAGTAACGACTTAATTCACGTTTCAATGGGGGGGAGGCTGCTTGGCAGGGAAAGGTGGACTGCGGTGGTGGCTGCTTGTGGGAACTCGCATGTGAGGAACCGGGGTGTAAGAGGCGATGTTCAAGTTTCACGTTTATTTGTCAGAATTATCAGAATGGTTTTACTGGAGGAATCCGATGAGCATGTAAAGCTCTTTTTCGCAGACATCCAGCGGTAGCATTCCATGTAACCAGCGTGGGAACTCGAGGGACCGGGGTACAGGAGGTCTCATTTGCGAGAGAGGCATCGGGTCACCAAAATGACGGACGCAAAACTAAATAAAGTGACAGCGTTGGAAGCAAATGTAAATCTGGCCAAATAAAACTGCGTGACATGACCAATCGTAAATATATCCCCAGACGCGGGTCGAAGTGAAATAATAAATCTGCCCCTCCCCTCCCCTAAGCGTAAGGTGGCTCGGGCAGATAATTTTTTGACCGTTCAGAGCCACGACAGCCAAACGGAGCTGTGGGAACGCTAAACGGACGTTGTGTGGGCGACTCGTGAAAGGGGCACGGGCGAGTCGAGCGCAAGCGCGGCGGCTGCGTCTTCTGCCTTACCCGCAAGCCAAAGTAGAGGAGGAAGAAGATGTTGAGGCCCATGTCGAACTGCAGGGTGGTGTCCTTCTGGAAGTAGTGGCAATCCTCGATGGGGCTGCGGAGACGACACGCGGGCGCGCCGGACAGGACCAGTTGGCTCACCGCACGGACGTGCACAGTGGCTTCGTGGCATTTCGCAAGCGAAAGAAATAAAATGCTTGCGACGAAAAGTGACGATCACCGACGGCACGTGCAAGCAGAATGAATGATTGCATAGCGAAAAAAACAAACAAAATCGAGAATTTCAGAGATCTACAACCGAATGATTATGAATGTGCCCCATCTCGCAAGCTAAGCCTGGTTATTCGCGCTTGCGTGGGTGACCAACCACCAGGGCTTGCCAGGGGTTGTTGGCGATGGGGCTGTGAGGTTTTGACCTGCAGATGACAGCTTGCGACTATCACCCTTTGTACGAGGCGGTGTTCTCTGGGCATTACAATGGTCCTCCCACGCGAAGCCCAACGCTCATCAATGGAATGGGCTAAATGTCTTGAATAAGTCATTGTTATTGTAGTTATTGTGCCGAGTGCTTTGACACAATAACTACTTGCGAGAGAGCGGGTGGTGTGTGTGTGTGGGTACGACTACTAGGAAAGGAGTTATTTCATGTCCAAGATGGACCAGCCCTCACAGTTGACTGGTAGGGTGGCGAATAGCCCACATTCATGTTAATTTACAGGAAGACAGATTTAGTTTATCACAGCGGGAAGGGCCGAATAAAGCTGGTACGCTCAAAGTCATGGGCATCCTGTGACTGCTGCAGCAGTTATAAACTTGCCACGTCTGTTCATCACGTGACAACTTTCTTAATTGTCTGTCTCTAGCGGTGGAGTGTTTACGACACACGCTATTTCCGCACGCTGATCTGACCCAAACATTTCAGTGCGCATCAAAATGTCGATTCACCTTCTAATTTCCCACTCGAATGACTTTCATAGCACATCCATTTAATTTGCATTGCGACTCTTGGAGCCAACAGCGCCAATGTAATATGGGCAAAGTGCCAATGGAATCAGTCGAAGGTGGCACGCGTGGCCTCGACGTCAAACAAACGATCAAACCAAAAAAAAACATCTAATTTGTGACGACCGCTGGCGAGTACAACACAAGCCACTAAGCAGTGCTTCCCCCACATTGAGTATTCAAAACGTTGGTTATCCTACGGACAGTCACTCCTTTCGGCCATAGAATGGTGTAATTCCCACCGCTGGCTTGGGCTTTCTGTAGGTGATAAGTGCTGTACTACGCTTACGTGTCCTCAGCGCGATTCGCAAATTGACTTCGATTGGTGAAGTATGGTCAACGGATACATTTCCACCACCGGCTCTGCAGGGCCGTGAATGGGCAGTGAGCATCACCGTGGTGCTCATCTGAGTAGGAAATCTCTTTGGAGTAATTTTTTTTTATTATTTCACCACACCATGGTCATCATCAACTCAAAGAGCAAACCGAGGCATGGTTAAAATTTCTTTTCTTTTTTAGCAAAATCCAATTTTAAACTCTGGCACTCGTATATGCAAACGAATAAATAAACGAGACATTTGCAAATGTGTGGAAATGGGGTTTGCGCAAGGTTTTGAATATCACCGAGGAAAAAAAAAAAGAATAATCAGCAGAGCTGTGCATGCAATTCCAAGCGCTATGTTTGCAATGAATCTCTCCGCCCGCGTCGCCGCGCTAATAATCCTCCGGCAGCCGTTGCCGTCAGACGACATCAAATTTCTGTTCCTAATGAAACAACCTCTCCGCTGACCCTCGCTCCGCTGTAGATGTCACGGCGAATATCACGGCTCGCGCGAGCACGCAAAGTGACGCGGCGTGTCAACGTCGGCGGCGTCAGCAGCAGCAGTGATCTACTCACTGCTGGATGAAGGCCTCTACGGCAAGACAGAGCGTATGACGAGTTTAATTTTAATGGTTATGGCTGCCCATGTTGAAGTCGCGAACATTAACGATATTCTGTTTTCATTACGGGATTTAATTACTTTTGTCAATTCGCGTGATTAAAATTGGCATTGTCGTTACTTTGAACGTAAATTCATAAATGTTGCAGTGTAACATCAATTTAATCACTCTTACCCAGAAACGCCAATCGATAACATGCACACTGTGGTCTGTACACGCGGTCACACTGCGTCGTGACTGTGCTACACGAAGCTGTAAAGGCCTTTGTGGAGTGGAAGGGCAGATGTGCCGCTGCGTTTGGTGAGAACAAAGTACGAGCATCAACGCTCCGGGTCGCTCGACCGACTCCGAGTAACCATCGCCATCGGCATGGCTTATCACGCCACCGTCGATATCTGCTAAGCACCCGTCGCGGTTTCACCCCCGCCATGCCAATCGACCTGACAATTTAACACGCGACTGACTTGATACCGCGAGCGATGGAGCTACGCATAAGCAGACCGAGCGTAAAGCTTCAGCGTGCCAAAGTAGCTTCATGAGCGCCCTGGATCCGCCAAAAAAAATGGGATGCAATAAAATATCAACTCAAGTTAAAATCCCAACAAAACATAAAGAAGCCAATCTTGTCCGCATCTTTCGTGTCTGCAATTCCTCTCATTATCTATCTCTTGCCTACAGCCCATCCGTCATCTCACATCTACATCCCTTGCCGAGACCTCGCTCGATTTGGGACATTTCTGGCTCATCTGTGTCTCTCCTCCTAACTGCATCTCTGTCTGCATGTCTCTCATCTCACTACGGCAAGGGTCTGCATCCCTTCTGTCACCTCACAAGGAAAGTTTGCAGGGGGGCGGGTCAACAATAGCATATGCTTAGAGCCCCCAACGGTCCAGCTTCAGCGGTGGGTGCCGTTATAACTCTGAATCGACACGGCGGGATTCTGTCGCACATTGCAGGTTCATTGAAAACATAGCCACGCGGTGTACCGAGAGTACGCAGAAGGGCATGCAGGTGCGTTGTACACACACACACGCACACACACGCGCACACACACACACGCACGCGAAATCACTCGGGCACGCGTGGTCAGTCTATGCACACTCACCTCGTCGCACTTACACCAGGAACAGGGTTTCGGGTAATATTTCGGGAGGGGGGGAAATAAAACAAATGAGCCTACCACCTTGCAATGTTATATATATATACACACACACATATACACACACACGAGCGCAATTTTTTTTCCGTTTAACCAGGCGAGAGTTCAAGAGACCAGGACAGCACCTCACTTGCAAGACAGTAACCTGGCTCACCAATATGACGAGCAAAAATTAAATGAGAGTCGAGCGAAAGAAGCAATTGTTCGGCTCCTTCAAGAGCGAATAATAACAGCAACCCTGGCATGCTTTGCATGTGAGGGCCTGTGTGCAGGCATTGTCATTTTTAGTGGCTGTTGATGTTCTTCTTCAGCTGGAGAAAAGCGCTCTGGAGCGTGGCTCTCCCCACGCGATGTCGGGTCGGTACCGCGTGTCGTTCGGAACGATGTACGACGGTCCACTCCTCATTGCCGGGAGCCATTTGAGGAAGTGAAAGCACGTCCGCAGCATGCGGAGGGGGAACGTCGGAATTCAAGTGGCGGACGTCGTGCCGAGCGACATGCGATACAACCCAGCAGCAAAATCCTACGGGGTCGTAGAACTTCAGTTTAGTCGTAAGAGGTTGGCCAACGCCTTTGATCTCACTGTCAATAAAGTAACATACGTCCTCGATTGAATATCTACCTTAGTTTCCTTAATTAGCAGAGGTGTGGACTCGAGTCATGTGACTTGGACTCGAGTCAGACTCGAGTCATGAATTTGATGACTTCAGACTCGACTTGGACTTGCATAACAATGACTTTGTCCCACCTCTGTTAATTAGTAAACAGAGCAAATTTAACAATAATGAGACGACTTTTAACACTCGGCATTTTTCGCAAACGGACTAAAATTCGAGTGGCATTCGGTGCAATGTTGCGCATCCCAGTCCCATGTGGTACGGGCGGTAAAGGTTGGATTTGTGAACATATCTGTGGGCGGTTAATGGCTCAGGGTGGACATGTGACAGTGGGATACGTGACGTTATACTCTACGCTCGGTTTACGAAAACCGTTTTCTTGGCTATGAAGAAACATCTAAGGAAATGGAGCTCACGGTGTGGTTAGGCAGACATTCTGGTGATGAATTAGTGAACGTTTCAAAACCTTCAACATGGCTCGTAATCGGCAATACAGGAGAACCCCTCTTATCCGTGGTTGTATGGGGGCACCTATTATTATTATCGGCGGGGTTATTTCATTCATTGGAAAGGATATAACCCCGCGGATAATGGAATTAATTTGACTCCTCTTATCTGTGGAAAGATCGCGGTGTCAGGAAACTGCTTTGCTGTGCATTGTGGGTAAAACCGCGGACAAATCATAATAAATAGGGCTGCCAATTAACGGAGTTTTCGACGGCCCTACAGCTGCCGTGGATAATAGGAGTCGTGGGTAATAGGGCCGCAGGAGAAGAGGAGTTCTCCTGTACATGACCTGTGACCGGTGTTTACAGGGGGCCATGCAAAAACCGAGGGGGAGGTCAGGGAGGGCACGACACAGTCAATGTTAGACAAACTGTACCCTCGCGTGCATTTTGAGGACGGGCTCCAGCGCACATTCTTAAATTGCCACCGGCGTTCAATATCGTGCCATGATTTGAGTAAGGAATGCTTAGCCGTCAATATGAGTGGGGGGCTCAGGCCCTCCCTCACTACCCACCCCGCCCGCTACGTGGCTGGTAATCTAAGTTTCAGTGGCTGTGTCAACCTGTCAATAAAGGCTCTCCGAGTTGGCTACACCATATTGGATTTAGAAACAGCTTGAATCGCTGCAATATCGCAATTGCAGCCTGAAGACCGACACAGCGGAGAGCAGGGGAAAGAACCCACAGCGATGTTGTTTTAGTTCTTCTAATAAATACCACCATGGGACATTACAAACCCCTTTTTGCTTTAAATGGCAAGTGATGTGTGTCAACAGCCAGAAGCCTGCACCACCCCCACCCCCCTCTCTTCTCTGCACCTATTCCTACATATGACGATTGTGCGTCCGAAATTGTGAACGTAAATAATACAGGGGGCAGGCAAATTCCACGACGTTATCATCACCTTTGATTGAATGACCTTAACTACAGCCGCTTTGTCAATCCACTGCTGGATGAAGGCCTGGCCACCCCACGCCGCGTCGTCGGCATCACGGGGTGGGGGAGCGGGGGGGGGGGGGATTGTCCATACTTCCTTTATTTTACATTGCACCCCCCTGCCCCCCCCCCCTCTAAAACCCTCACCCCTCTCCCGGTGTCTGTGTGATGGATGAACTTACTCGGACGAGTCGATGAAGTAAATCACCAGAGCCCCGATGCTGAGAAGGAAAACGAGCACCACCTGCGAACAGCCGCGGGGAGAGGAGGGGGGGGGGGCGGTGAGTTGGTGGTGAGTTGGTGGTGATTTGGTGGTGAGTTGGTGGTGAGTTGGTGGTGAGTTGGCGGTGATTTGGTGGTGAGTTGGTGGTGAGTTGGTGGTGAGTTGGTGGTGAGTTGGTGGTGATTTGGTGGTGAGTTGGTGGTGAGTTGGTGGTGAGTTGGTGGTGAGTTGGTGGTGATTTGGTGGTGAGTTGGTGGTGAGTTGGTGGTGAGTTGGTGGTGAGTTTGGAGAGTTGGTGGTGAGTACGATGACGACGACAAAGAAGCAGAGAGGGGTGGGAGGGTGCAATGATAACTCGAACAAACGTTTTGCGCGAACACTGATCCATTGATCCTTGGCGATAGAGGAGCAGTCTGCAATAGCCTTCCCACAACGGGAGTAAGTAGGAGGGGGAGGGGATTTAAACATGCTAAATGGAATGAAAATTTAGCGGTGAACATTAACGAATGTCCCCCTTCATGGGCACTGAGGACCACGTGATGGCTCCATCACGTCTTTCTGTCAAGCTGTGCAGCGCCGTACGTAATTCGTGTTTATTTTTTAAGTGCGGAAAATGCCCAGGATGGAGCTTATCGGATACGTGGTGCCTACCGGTATGAGCTTAGGAAACTAGCGAAGATGATTGTCGACGTTTAAGAAGATTACCTGACTATTGTGGACGACTGCTTGTTATTAGGTCCATGATGGGCATCCCGAAGACAGAAATTTCCTAAATCGCCGGTCCCAGCGTGACCCGGCTGATGATGCCGATGACGCCAATGACATCACCAGGCCCCCGCCTATCACCCCCCGTCCAGCGGCACACAAACGTGAGACAAGTTTTTTCCCCCCCCTCCGGGTATTTCCGTGTTTAATCCGAATAGCCGAGACTCCGCCGAGTTAATGAAAGGAAACTCGGCAGAGTAATCGATTTCTCGAAGGATTGGGAGAGGTCCCAGCTCGCAACTAAAAATACCCGGATCGCCAGCGCGATGACGAACACGGCGTGACGCGGAACGGCCCAGGGACACCGCGGCGCAACTTAAACGGGCCCCCTTCGTCGAGCAGACGAGATCCTGGGGGGACAAATCCTCTTAGCAGTTAATTTGCTGACCTGCGAGCCCGTGCCCTTACGGCGTCACGGATAAGCGGCGTAACACTGTACACAAAACGAGCATGGAAATTCATCATCATCATCATCATCATCGGCCACGCTCAATCTACTGCCGGATAAAGGCCTCCTCCAAGTCAGTTGTTACGAAGAAACTGAAAGGCGGCAGCTTCATCACATTAGATAATGCAGTGTGTACTTGTTTGTTACGGGTATTCATAGTAATTATAAGTATATGAATTATAATAATAGTAATTATAATAATTCTAACATCAAATAATTGAGAGCCCTTGGTCGGTCCACTGCCTCCCCCATAACATTCCAGATATGGGGGTTGTGTTGGCCATACTTCACCACGCTGGTCGGTGCTCGTTAGCGAAGGTGACGGGGTGGGTGGGGGGGGGGGCACACTCAGTGACCGGTTCAGATATCACTCGCCACCGATGTCAGCCGTGGCTGGAAATCGAACTCGGTGTCGTCAGGCTGACAGTGCAGTGCTTGAACTACCACTGCACTACCACTTGTGCCCATCGGCTTGCAGAGGCGGGGTATGTCCGTATCCAAAGATCAAGGTGTCATTCGTGACCAAAGCCCTTGATGCTGTCACGCTTTCATCGCTGTGGAGGGCGGGGGGGGGGTTGATGATTGGTGGCTGGAGCAATGCCCCAAGTTGAAGCCACTCGTTTCCCAGTGTCTGTGTGTGGGCACCGAGAGCCTTGCCAAGGCTCACCCGCCTTTACCCACAGACAGATGACCCACAGTCCCACTGCACTGTCGCGGTTGCCATTTTGCCTCCTTGGGAGTCGCAATGTTGTAGCTATTAAATCAACTATCATCACACTGTTAGTAAAAGTAAGTGAGCTTGAGCTGGACGCTCCGCTAGAAGGGACGGTGATGGCCAATGGTCATGAAGGCATTAAGGTCGCACTCATTAAACACAAAGTGCTCGCAGAAAATTAACCGCAATACCTTTCCGAACTCGTCAAGGAGCATAAGTGATCACGCCAACTCCGCTCATCCACGCAGCAGTGACTTTGGCTAACCATCGAACAAAGACGGTCACCGCATCGCGCGCTTTTAGAAGCGCTTCTGCGGCCATCTGGAATGCTCTTCCTTCCGATATTAGGAAGCCACTGGAGGCTATGTACTTTTCAATCGAGATTAAATATTCATTAATTTGTGATAATTGTTTTTTTACCCTTTTATCTGGCAACAAAAATTACAAATTTTTTACGCCTTTTGGCGTCATCTGGTCCAACACCATGTGAGACTAGGCTCTAAGAAAAGCTGTCTCGGGTGTGGACCAATCAATTTCAAGGACAGTGCATACATTATCAGAGTTGTCTTTTTGTTTGCATTCCGACAGCAGGTATTGTGATCAATGCAAACATGACTCCTTGTAAAAAAACGTGTCAGTTTTGTTGCCAGATAAAAAAGGGTAAAAAAACAACGATCATATTTTGCTACTGGCAAAGGAGGTTCCAATGGCATTAATTTCTGTTTCGTTTGTTGTCCTTTGCCCGCACCTCCGATTAGCACGGGTTGGCTACGCACGGTGCGAAAGGAGTTCGTACAAGAATAGCGATTGCCTTGGAATGGAACACGTCCGAGAGGACGCCCACTGGCGAGATGGAGCGACGAAGTGGCGGTGCGAGGTGGATCATTGCATCGTGGGATGGTGGGAGCTGGCAGTGGCTAGGGGAAGCCTTCATCCATCCCACAGTGGATTTACCATGAATTATACTACTGCTCCTGCTGCGGATAATGATGCTGCTGCTGCTTGTGATGATGATTATCATAGTAATGGGAATTGTTAATTTAACTTCAATGCTGTTATTGGTGGTGTGTGTTATGGATGATATTCCCATCACTTGCGACGCACCGCATGGACAGTGAGCTTGTGAAGAAAGGAAATGCTGTGTACTTTGCGTGCAAATCTACAAATTTTTTCCATTGGAAAAAAGCCGCAAATAGCGATATCTAAATTTGGGCTCACACCCCACGGTGCCTTGCAAGGAAGCGATTGGCTAATTGGCATATCCTTTCAGCCTGAGCAATTTGTCAAGCCTAGGCTGCAATCACATCTCGAACAAAGTAGACTAGATTATAATATTCAAGAGTACAACATACATTTTGTTCCATTGGCCAACGAGAGGGTTTTTGGTTTATGTGCAACTGACAATTTTCTTGGGGTCATGGGTGAAGTGTGCTGCCCCAAGGGCTGGCTACGGCTGCTGAGCGATCAATGGAACTTCCACAAGGAACCACAAACAGGAACGTGAGTTGATCTTTTTAGTAATTTTTTTTGTAATCTTCCCCAAATGTTATCCTGCTCGTGATATCCGCGTCGCGTCATGCGCCGCGGAAACCATTCGGAACTTTTGCCGAGCAGTGCAACCCTTCGTGCTAGAGAACGGTCCGTGGAAAGCGGATATCACAGAGCCACTTCTGAGACCCCTTCAAAGTGGCCGCTCGGCAGCACTTTCGCACCCGCTCTACCGGGGGAGATTCATGTCCGTTGCATGACATTTGCGCCGATATTTACTTGGAGCTGGAATTCAGAAAAAAAATGAAGTGCAAAACCAATTTTAATGCGCAGTCATTGGTGACCGGTAGAGACCATTACGTGGGAATAGAATGTAGAGAGGATACATTAAATGGAATGTGAAATAAAGTGAGTGGGCTGGGCAGGACACGTCGCTTAGAGGGATGGAGGCTGGTAGCTGAGGTTAATGACAGGGCAGTAGCCAAAGGAGAGATGGAGTGATGACATCAGCCCGTATACAGGATCTCAATAGATATTAGCTTTGCAAGACCATTGGCGATGGCGAAGACTTGGAGGCCTTCATCCAGCAGTGGATTGATCATGACTGATGATGATGATCAAGAGGCCGAGGACCACAAATGACTTTCATTGCTTTGTGATTCCCAACACAGTCTCTAATTTTTACCTTTAAGATAATGACATCATCATTATCATCATCACGACGACGACCTAATATTTCAATTTGGTTAATTTGCTCTGAAGAAGGGATGTTTGGCCAAAACGTCGCCGATTATGTTTCCTTTGGAGGCCACAGTGCCACATGAGTCAGGGTTTCCTCCCACGCGTATAAACACTCATTCATTGGCTGAAGACATCTTAATTCATAGAGGACTGCAGAGCTTGGCCAATTGTTGGCGCCGGCTCACCGCCCGGTCGCCGCATTCCAGCCCCTCGCGTAGTTCCTCGGCGGTCGCAAGAGATGCAATTTGCGTGAACGACGCTACATAAAACTAAACGACATTATTCAGGAATGCGAAGGTTTCTTTTATTGTTTATTTTTATTTTATTTTTCTACCTACGTGACTTTACCGAAAGAACCAAAGAGTATGTTCTTTATTCTTATTCGTACTCGCACATCACTGGCATCGCAGCAGCGGGGGCAGCGATATCGCCAAATAAAACGCGGGACCTTCGCAAACGGGTGTTGGCGGGTGTGTGCGCGCACGCCCACGCCACCGTGGATTGCTCACCAGCACGCGGCCGGTTTGCGTCTGCGCGGAGATCATGACACCGGCCCAGTCCTTCACCGAGGTCATCCAGCCGACCTCCGAGTCCTCGGCCTCTTCTCGTGGTCGGTACGTGCCCTCCGAGGGAGGCGCTCCGTCGGCTTTTATCTTCTGCAATTCCTGTCGCAGCAGAGGGAGGGGGGGGGGCGCGCTTTGTATCAACGTGACCTCCATCGATCGTTTAACAGTGGACAAATTACGCACTCTGGGCTGGAAATGCGATGTAACGGTCGTTAACGAAGTGGAGCGCTTGCCGACCTGACCACGTGAGTTCGATTCCCAGCCACGGCTGACAACGGTCACGAGTGACACCCCCTTTACCGACGCGCACTGCCCGGTGTGGTGAAGTATGGTCAAACAGCCCCCCGTGGCAGACACGGCATGGGCAGCCCTTCATCAAGCGGCGTGCTGACTAAGGGCTGCACGCTTCTACAAATAACTTACAACAATATGTCAACCCCCTGCAGGGTGATGACCTCCCTCACGCTTTGTCAATCGTAGGAGGTTGTTTGGCTATACTTCACCATGCTGTGTGAGTTGGTGAAGTAAGTGGCGGTGGTTGGGGAGGAGGGGTGGGGAGCACCTGCACCAGTTCAGACACCGCTGATGTCAGACGTAATCGGGAATTGAACTCCGTTCTCGAGGTTCGTAGTGCAGGGCGCTATCGCCGTGCCACCACTGAGACACAAAGCAGCCTTCCAGCTGGAGTGCAACGCACGTTATGACATCTGTCATTTCCGCAACTCCGATGAGCGCGATTGGCTATGTACTGCGAGAAATAAGTTCGACGTTCGTACACGTGCATACCATTCATATTCCACCGTTGCATCCCAACGGCGTGGAGCGAAAACATAATGGGACTTCGTATTGACAGTATAAACACATAATGGCCGTCCGTGTAAGTACATGTCACGGCAATCGTATTGACCATTCAGAGAGATGGGCCTGGGCCAGACGCATCGTTACTGTGACAGATGGTGGCACGTGGACGAGACCGATGACGGAACGTCAGTCAACTGCAGCGGACTCGCCGAAGAGGACCCCAGACGCACGCCCGCCACGGAGACGGAGCGATGGAATAAAGAGTTCTGTTGCTCGGGAGCGACGGATTGCGGCCAATGCAGGACGAGGGATTGTGACGGACTGGAGAGGACTTCTCTCGTTACGCGTTCGGTCCGTGGGCACAGTGTTCATCCAACAGTGGATAAATGATGTCGACAGCAGTCGTACGTAAAACCATTGGCTTCCCATTCATCACAATATCATCTATTTTCACACAACTCACAGTGATAACTGCATTTCAAATGGTAATATCTTAACATATACCACTCCATATTTCCATTCTAAATATTTAATTAAGCCATTTCATCATGTAACTTGCATTGTATTATCATAAAAAAATAAAAATTACCGGTGTAATATTACGCGTGTCACAGTCCCTATCGCCATGCTCCAGTGTTAACTTAATTAAAAGGCAGAACTGAGACGCCGCTTTCACATGAACGAGCCCTGGCGTTATAGTTCAGTGTGCACTGCGATCCGCATCTTTTCATTAAATAAATTTTCTCTAACTAATTAATTGCAAAAGGAACGTGTATGGAAGTTGCATTGAATGGGTAAAAATACATTTCCTGTAAATAACCTATGCTGAGTAACCTTTTACATTTTTACCTTTTCTCAATTCCCCAGTGGATGTAGGCCTCCACATGCTCCGTCACTCACAGAGTATTTTTGACCATACTTCACCATGCTGGTCAGTGCGGGTTGGTGAGTGAAGGGATGTGGAGGGTTACCCAGGATCGGATCTGATAGATCTTGCCACGGATGTTAGCCGTGGCTGGGAATTCATCTCAGGTTTCCAGGTTCGTGGCACAACGTGCTAGCTACCGTCCCACCACTCAACCAAAATTAATGAGTGGTTGATTAAACCAAAGTTATGGGTAGAGTGGTGGCGCCGCAGTTCGCCTACTGCGCTATAAAGACAATGACTTGAGTGTTATTTTCAGGCATGGCTAACATCAGTGGCGAGTCACATGTGAACTGCTCTTCCTGTCTGTCCACTTCACCGACCTGCGCTCATCAGCGTGGTGAAGTATGGTCAAACAACACCCATGACTGATGGGGCGTGAGTAAGCATTCGTCCAGCATTGGATTTACAAAGATAAGAGGGAGTGGCAGGTTCAGGAATGACAGGTGAAGGAATCAATATAATTAATGATAAGAACAGCGATCATGGATGATGATAAAGAAGCCAAAGGGGAACTGGGCAGGACAACTGCAAAGCGGAGAAGGCGCGACGAGCTGCAGCAGCGAGACGTCGTCACGGGAGTGGGAGGCCGCGACTGGACAGGAGCAGTTCAGGAAAGCAATGGAAGAGCGCGGGCGAGAGACCTCTGCCCGGCAGAGGAGGAAGTGACAACGCCATTCCGCACCTCCGATTAGCACGGTTGGCTTCGTACGGTGCGACAAAAAGTTCAACATACATACAAACTGCAAATGACAAATTTGTACTGAACAATTCATTCCGATTATCACGGTTGGCTACGCACGGTGCTAAAGAAGTTCAACAAACATACAACAATGAGAGCAAACAGCTTAGCCGCACTAATCGGGTACTGGAGGGGACATATTGAAGCATCATCGCAACGTTGTGTTTAAAATGTTTGCGCAATCAGCCCACACGTTGGACTTTTAAGTAGCTCTGACCACAAAGTCAATGTCGGCGCTCCAAGCACGATCAAAGTTAGTGTCAACCGATGTAAGGACCGCCAAATGTTTGACCTTCTTGCTGTAGCATGATGATGCTGGATGTAATTACCCGCAAAACGTCGTACTCGAATTGTAAATGCTGTGGGTTCACTCTCCAGCACACCGATTTGCTGAACTCATAAATAATTGGCATTTTTTTGGTTGACGTGACACACCAAACTAATTGGCTACGTCGGGTGGTGACAGATTTAACAATATTTATATTTACGCGATCTAACCCAAAAAATCCCTGATGTATGACGTTTACCTATTGCTGACAAGTGCAAGGATAACAATGTGATTAGAGGCTGCTTAAATGCCTCCGCGATTTAAAGTGCCTGAACATCTTCATCTCCATTATTCCAATGCCCAGCTGTCGTTGTTGTCATTATGTTTGCTGGGCCTCGGTGACCCACTGCTTGGCAGCTGTCCCAGGTGAAGGCAGCACCAGCCTGCAAGTGGCCATTCGTCTGCCAGTAGGGCAGAGGCAATGTTGATCTTGCTGTTTTGCAACTAAGCCATTTGCGAACAAATTTTTGCTTCATTTGGACCGTGACGTCCCGGGGTCCAAATCCATCCGGGTAGGCATCGTAGCCGCACTCATCGAGTACTAGAAGGGTATATCTTCAGCTTGGCAACAACAATGCGTTTCTAATTTTTCGCTCGTTCCGCATTGGCATCGTGCAACGAGACCGAGGCTGGTGTGGGCGTGTGCCAACTTGTGGTTGGCCGCCAAAGTTTTTTGTTTGTTTGAAATTCCAGTTCAACCCTCGGTAAAGAAAACAAAGACCTCGCAGGATATCCGTCAATAACACTTCCATGCAGATGGTCCATTGCCCGAAACGTTGCCTCTTTTAAGAGCAAAGTGTTATTCGCGAATGTGTTGAGTTTGTTGTGATTCATGTTTGTGCACTCCTGCCAACGCAGCAGCAAGCAGCATCTTCATCACCACCATCACCACCACCAAATAATTGTCTCGTTCCAGGAAAAGGTTCCCTGGCTCTACTTTCACGTATCAATTGCTAACGCGAAAAACCGTTACCGCTGCCGCTTCACTGTAGGTCACGCAAATGAAGAGGCGCGGGGGGGGGGGGGGCACCGGACCCTTTCATGTTCGCCGTTGAGACATTTAGCCCCTTACATTATTCACATCCCTCTCCGGGTCCGCACCGCTGCTGCTGTAATTGAATAAAAAATGCATACAGTGTCTCCATGACAGCAATTAAAAATGCATGTAATTATATCTGCGCACCGAAAGATGCTTGTCAACGGAGCCATTAAGGACCACTCGTCACGTAAACAACGAACACACAAAACACAGAAAGCGTCAGGTTCCCGTTCCTTATGTTAGAACTACTTTCACTCGCGCGTTGCAGCAAGTTTGGCTTTTGGAATAAAAGATCAAAAGAAAACAAAAACGGGCGCAGCAAAGAAACGCTGAGAAGTGGCACGTTCGGAGTTACACGTTGAGGGAGAGATGAAGGAGGAGCGCATGCTTCAGGGAACAAACGCAAATCAGAGACGTGTTGACGGTTAAGTCGGTAGGCTTCGGCAGGACACGTTGCTCGCAGGGGTGATGGCGAAGCTACGTCGACGACCCTCGTGATGGAATGGCAGTCAAATGAGAGGGAAATGCATCCGAGAAGTTGCCCACAGTTGGAGATGGAGCCACGTGAGATCAGTTCACGTGCAGACGTGCACGGGGGATCGTGAGAGATGGCATCGGCATGGGAAGGAGGCCTTCGCACAAGCGGAGAACAGACAACGACTGCAGATAGGGCTGATGAATGTATTTGTATACCCATGGAAGCCGCCTCCACTGAATCTCTCTACGGCTATTTCTGGAAAGTTCTGCTTGGGGTCACATGAGCGAGAACCCTCTGAAACTGAAGAGGCAATTCAACATTCTTGCCAAATCTATATCTTATTATCATTTTAAGAGCACACGAGAGCACCAAGAGAAAACCAAAGTGGACAAGGGAGTAAGAGCGATGCTCAGAAATGCGTTGAAGAGATGATCGAACCTACTTACTGAGCTGCCTTACAGGGGCTCCACCGCGTGTTTACCCAGGAGATGATGGGCGTCTCGTGCCAAATGGTCTCAGCGTAATCACACAAAAAACGCTCACTTGAAACAAATATATTTTTTGGGCATCGTCTCATTAAATGCGTATTTTGTATAGTTGAACAGTTTGAATGTACGTACCACACTATGCATATCATCTTCGCTGGAACGGTGGCATAGTGATTTGCGCAATTTCGTGATACGGACCTTGTGACCAGAGTTTGATTACATGCCTTGGCGAACATCAGTGGCAAGTGATATCTCAACCGGTCCTTCACCAAAACTAAACTTTTATTTTTATTTTACAAGGTAATACCCACTGAGCTATATAGCTTGTTTTAAGAAGCAACCTTGTCACAAATGATAGCTCAACGAAGTGGCTTATCACGTGGAAGTTTATAGCAGCCAAATACTTGAAACACATGTTGAGTCTCGATGTGGAGGCAAAAACCGTAGGACCCAAGAGTAAAATCCACGCGACCACGGGGAGAACGTGGAGACTCAAAATATATCGCCATCAGTCAGGCTCGAACCCACGACCTCGTGTACACCAGGCGAGGTAGTTAACGTCTCGCCGTCGTGGCACCGCAACCTGCATTGTCCGCGTGGGTGAAGTATGGTCAAATAACCCCCCCATGACAGACGTGACGTGGGGTAGCCCTCATCCAGCAGTGGACGCACAGGGCTGTCGAATCATCATTTACTGCAGATGCACGTGTGCAGCCCCTCCTGTCAATCCACTGCTAGATGCGGGCCTCTGCAACGTGTCAGGAGTTATTGGACCATACTTCCCCACGATGGCCAGTCGAGGGTTGGTGAAGGCAGGGGAAGCGCAGACGCTGGGGGAAATAATTTCTGCACGACAATATGATTACTAATGAACTCGCATGACCCGCCCTCCAGCTGCTGCAGTCACCAAATTATTCTCGTGATTTATTGTACCTCATCTTAATCCATCTTCATTCCGCCATTGAAGGTTCCATATAGCTCCAATCTGAAGCCCCCCCCCCCCCCTGGGCAGAGTCTTATATAAACACAGAATCAGTTTGCCCCCCCCTCCCCACCGCCGCGTCGTGATAGCGTCTCTTCCCGCTCCTCTCTGATGATCTGCACGTTCATTATCTCCGCTTCTATCCACCGCCATTACCCCAAAGATCTCCGTTGTGTCCCCTCCGCCAGTCCAGTGAACGGGGAGTGCTCGCGCTGCCAAGGTTTAGCGGCTCCTGTGCTCGCAAACCCGAACTCTGTCCATCCCAGCAGTGTGAATGAGTAACACTTCCGATTTGCATGGTTGACTACGTACGGTGCGAAAGAAGTTCAACCTACACACATACAGCTCGCGTGTGGTGGGGTAACGTGTCGGTTGACTCCCACTCCTTCCACGACGCCTGACCACCGTGGACGAGTAGGCCAAATGCCCTTTAGAGGGGGTGCTCTGTCACCAGCAGAGGTGTGAGCCTGCACTTGCAGGGCTGCGCCTTTACCTACCTGGAGGCACACGTCTCGCTCAGGGGTGGTGGTGGTGGGGAGCGGTAGGGGGAGGTCGCTGCGACCCAAGTTAGATTCCGGCTCACGGCCAACACCAGTGACGATTATCTCAACCGGTACTGAGCTCTCCCACATGTTGACTCAGATGAGTAGCTGGTGCGGTGTGTAAACATCACCCCAGGGAAGACAAAGGCGACCGGGCGTCGTGTTGCTGGCCACCCAACCCCTCCCTGCACCCTGTGTATGTGTGCTCAGTAACTGCGCTTGCCACGCAAGTGTGTTCGAGGCTATAAGGAGGATAATTGTATTTGGTTGTCCACCAAAGGTAAACTAAACTACAATTTAAAGCTTTCGTGACTGCAGGGATTCATCTTCTTGGTTCTTTCGGTAAAGTCACGTAGAATGGAAATAATAAAATAATAAAAATAAAACTAAATAAAATAATTCTCACGACGTTTCGGCCACAACGCAAGCAGCCGTCCTCAGGTGAAGAACAGGTCTGTCGAGAAGACAGAGTCTGAATGACACACTCCAGGCTTGGAGCGACTATTTAAGCTGGGATGGAAGGGGGGAAGGGCGCCTTGATAAAAAAAATGTTGCATATCAAGAGGAATTTAGCATATTTATAATGTTTTATTTTTATTATTTTATTATTTCCATTCTACGTGACTTTACCGAAAGAACCAAGACGGTAAACTAAACTAGATATGAAAGTCCTGCTGCACCTTCAGTCCTCCTGTTCGTGTGTCCGCGCGTGCTACTGCAGCTACCGAACGGGCCACCCGCTCACGGTTCGATTGCCATTTGTAAACCTCGAATCGATTAGGCCATCGTCACCAACCCCGCAATGACCAGCCTGGTGAAGTATGGTCAAACAACTTCCGTGTACCAACACGACATGCCTTCGTCCAGCGGTGGAATTGAAAAGGGTCGTACATTATTCTTGCAAATCAGATAGCACGTGGAGTTTACTACCCCAGCTGTATAGATCTATACCAAATGCGTTGAACCAATATATATCGACACGGTATCTTTCATCAACGTATCGGAGCTCGTCAAATCTCGGGAGCTGAGCAGGTTTGAGCCTGGATATTTAATGCTTGAATGAGCCACCACCATGACCGTACTGGGTATGATCTTCACCATCTCCACTGATGAGCTCATGTTTTTTTTTTCGATACATGATCCCGGAACCATGATTGTAAAAATATAACTACAGTACACCACAACAAAACCCCTATATCTTGGGAGCAATCAAAACGCGCATTTACAGCCCCTTTCGTTGCAAACCCATTGCTGGATAGGGGGGCCTTCCCACGCAGTCGTGGTCGTCATTTGACCATATTTCACCACGCTGGTCAGTGCCGGTTTGGAGAAAGATGTGGGCGGTTGGGGGGTGGTGGTGGTGGTGGAGGTGGAGGGGTCACAATACTTTCTATGAAATCAAAGCTGAACTGACAAGGAAGGCAAGGTTCGGCATTTGTGGAACAGCAATCGTGCAATCGCGATACTCTATGTGAATAGAGATGTACGTGCGGTTAGAAATTAAAGGGCTTGACGCGCCCTTGCACACCACAGCGTCGAAGGTGCAATGAATATTGCATGTCTACACGTGTCCGTGGGAGCGAAGGGGGAGGTGGGTGTCACGCACGCTCGATCACCTTGTTCGCTTTCTTGCAGTGGCAGCAGACCGTCCAGAGGTACTTGAGTGACCTCCACGACAGAATGATGAAGAGGCCGCCGAAGAAGGTGACGAGCGAGGAGGCCAGGAAAGCCCACCACATCCGCTGCTCGTTGTTGCACTGGATCTCGGAGAAGATGACCCCCATGGTGCCCGCTGTGCTGTGCACGATCCAGAGGGTTTGACACCGCAAACTCGCCGCGGGGAAATTCTTGTAGAGGCCCCCCGAGCTAATGTCCACCACTGCCTGCGTGTCCACCGCCGAGAAGACGTCACAGGTTCAGCTTTGTGTCCACCACGGTCTGCGTCCGCTAAGGCCTCGTGACAACTGCGGTTCGTGTCCACCAATGGTCGTATCCACCACGACCTCGTATCCACCACCGCCGCTCTCGACCACCACCACCACCAGGGTCCACTGCAGCTGGACCACCACGGTTCGCGTCCACGGATTTATTCGAGGGCCGGGGATCGAGTCCACCGATGACTTGACGATAGTCGTGTCCACCACGGTCTCGCGTCCACCACCACCGCCACGGTCTCGCGTCCACCTCGGGCTCAGAGGCCGGTGCGAGCGTCACCCGCAGCTCTGTTCATTCGGAGCGCCGCAGCCATGGCGACCGCTGCCCGCGCCTCTTCATCCTCATGACGCAGCCTCATCCCGATCCTCCGTCTACCTCTCCTCCTGCTCCTGCTGCTCCTGCTGCTGCTGCCGCTGCCGCTGCGCCGCTAAACCGCTCCTCGTCCTCCTGCTTCACCGCGGGCGGCTCCCTGGGATGGCTGCGCTGCGGCCACGATGGGAGCGGTTCGGCGTTGTGACACGAGGAGGAGGAGAGAGCTGGGAGAGGCACGGAGAGAGAGGCAGCGGGGAGGGGAGGGGAAGGGCGCATCCCACCCTCCCGTGGCTGGTGTTCGAGAGCAGCGAGCGTTCAGCTTGCGCGCGGACAGAGAGAAGCAGCAGCAGCAGGAGCAGCCGCACGCACGCACGATGGCGCCTCTAGTGGTTGTCCCCGGCTGCGCGATTAGTGAGCCCAGGGGGTGGACAGCTGTAATGATTCGTCAGTTAAGTGGATTAAGCGACTTCAAATATATTTGACTGTTTTGTTGTGTGGCAGTTACCATTGGTCCCTGCCTCCCGAAGGCCGGTAACACCACCGCCCATCCATATGCGCCTGATGATGTTGACCGCGTTTCCAAGTCCCGCCCATTACCTCCCGTCCAGCGGCACACGTATAAAAAGGAGGTGATACGTTCACTTCATCCGATTAGTCGAGCAATCCAATTGAACCGATAATCTGGTAGCCAGCACTAGGGGGTCATCGTCGGGGTTAGCAATGGCTGGCTGGAGCGGTGGCGCAGCGATTAGCGCAACGCGCTGTGAACAAGGGAAACCGCAGGTCGATTTCCCAGCCACAGCCAATATCAGTGGAGAGTGGTACAAGAATTAGTCTTGACCCCACCCCTCCCTGAAGTATGGTCAAACAACCCCCATGAGCAGACACTGCGTGAATGGGTCTTCATCCAGCAGTAGATTTACAGACGGGCTCGTAAATGAACGCACTGTCATTAATTAAAGCACCATCTGCGCACAATGAGGTCGCGCACACCCGCAGTTACTGGTACGGCCTAATATCATCCGGACGCAGCACTGTCTGTGGACGATGCCATTGTGGTTACAAGAGGTAATGCATATTTTGTTTTAAGCTTCGTGGTATGGGTGAGAAACATCCGTTTAGAAATGCATAGGATGGAAATAAATTAAAGGAAAACCTGAATTTGCATAGGGCACCGCTGGGGTAAGCTTAGGGATATTCTCGCGATTCGGTTTGGCTCCGTTGTGGGCGGTGCAGCAAATTCATGTGTTGAGCTGCTTTGTGCGCCCGTGTCTACGCTGCCCCCCATCACCAAGCCGGAGCGACCAGCCTGGGGAAGTATGCTCAAACAACCCCCCACGGCCGCTCATCCAGCGGTGTGCCATGAAGAAGGCCCATTGCTCAAAACGTCGCAGATATAGATACCCCTTGAAGACACTGGCATTGACAAATGTGTTTGATGGGTTTTATTTTACATCCAGCAGTGGATTGCCAAAACGGCTGTACACATAAGTGCGTGGTCAATGACCTTGCGATGTTAGGGTTAGAGTTAGACTCAGTGTTTGTTTTCAGCCGGAAGCAGTCCAGAACTCTTTATCTTTTTTGCCACTCCACATCCATCTCGCGTTATCTTGTCCTCGTGATAATGATTAACCCTCATAGGGTGATATGAATACTGTACAGCATAGGGTACAATCATATGGGATTATTATGGATAGGCGTACTTTATACTCTTGTGGTTGTGCCTTACGGCAATAATCCCTCCGACTCTAAACAAGTCGTTCTGGAAATTATGGAATGAGCAATGAAGCGCCGAGAGGGAGTGTACATGTGGGTGCTGTCGTGGGGACTGCATGGTGTGCTCTTAATTCCATTGTGAGAAGGTGCGTGACCATACTTCACCACGCTGGCGAGTGAGGGCTGACGAAGAAACCCACCTGATATGGGGAACACGACTCTAGTCGCATTCAGTTGGCTCCACACCAGTGGCGGCTGGTGATATTTATTTTTGGGGGGGCGCATTTTTTTTATTTTATTGAGGGGGGCAAATAAATATAAAGCAGTACCAAAAACCATCTTGACTACTTGAATATAAATTTTGATGATCTTTATTTACATTTCAGACCAAAAGAAGTACCAAAAAGCATGTTTCCTACTTGAACATAAATGTTTCTCTTTTATATACATTTCAGACCAAAGTACCAAAAAGCATGTTTCCTACTTGAACATAAAAACGTTAGTTTCATGCTATTATCAATATGGCTGCGGCTACTTTCATGACGTTTGCATTTGTCAGAGAGATGTTTGAGGTCTCTTACCCCCGTCGTTGTCCACAAAACTTCAGTGCCGACACTTTGAAATAAAAGACAGGGAAAACAAAAAAGAGAATTGCTAACATCACATCCAGCCAGCCACCTCCGTTTCTCATAACAAGCGCGGGTGAAGCTTCGTGTGTAGCTTCGTCCTCTGTCACTGGCCTGCTGCTGGATTTGTAAATCAGGTTGGTCCGGTCCGAGATCCTTTATCTTTTTTATTTCTTCCAGCGAAAGCCTTGTGAAAGGGTTTTTTTGTAAATAAATTACAGAATTTGGATGAACTGCTGCCATTGTTAACACAAAAAATTTGATCAGCCTAGCAAGTGTCAAAGTGGTGTCGCCTTCGCACTCGCAGTAGTGGCCTACAGCGTAAATTTGAATGACAGGTGACGAGAACCAATCAGATTGGATAAAATAACATGTATCCAATTCTGATTGGCCAGGGACGCAACGACTTGCGCCCCGAGGAGAATCTTTAAGAAACCAATTAGAGACCAGCTTCAGGTCACATGCTGTCCGAAAATGTAAAGTCTCACATAGACATCCATTTGTCCGGCGCCCCGCATGAAACACATTGAAAAACATAGAAAATAGTTGACCGATTAAAGCCAGTTTTTATAAAATGCTGATGCTTTTCTTACTACCAGCCGGCACATCGTATGAAAAAAATATTTTATTTATGTATTTTTATATAAATTTTGCATATGTATATTTCTTGAATATTGATGGGGGCGGCGCCCCTGCGCCCTCTATTGACGAGCCGCCACTGCTCCACACACTCTGCAATTAACCAGGTGCGTACAATTCATGCACGTCTCTAATGCCCAACCAGCTCCAAATAGCATTAATGTGCAGAGGGATATGGTGCTCCTTCAGAGACGTATGCAGGCACAAGCCACAAGTTTGACTGTGAATGAAAGTGAGATTGCGCAGGACGCGTCGCGAGAAGGGATGAAGGCCGGTGAGCGAGCTGAGCAAAGCAGCTAAACTAATGGGAGGGAAAGGACGACCAGGGTGGAGATGGAACAATGAAATCGGCTCGTTTGCAGGTGCTAGGTGGATTGTTACATCACAGTAGCGGCTTGGAGAGGCCTTGGTCCAGCAGTGGACTGATGGTGAGTGATGACGACCGATCCGGATTAAAAGGTCTTTGAGCCGCTGGGGGTGATGAGCACATCTTGAAGCGCGGGTGGTCTCCCAATCACTCGTGTCTGCACGCGATTGCTCATTTAAAGCTGAGCCGACATAGGGAATCTGTGGAATCTACAGTGATATTCTGCGATTGAAAGTCAATGTCATTGGTATCGGCAAATCTGTGACACTTTTATTTATTAAATAATTATTTTTAATACAGAAATGTTGATACTAGAAACGCCATTGGCCAAATCTACTCCTGACACTGGTGAACTCCGCACCGCAGACTGAGCTGTCCACTCCTTCACGCAGAAAGTCGCCACAGCCAAAGCTCAAACAGTCGCTCGATGAAGATGATGAAGACGAAGTCGTCGAACATGGCACACGACAGCGGGCCGAGTATTGGACATGGTGCAGGGTCCTTCATGCACGACTCGTATTGCTCGCAATCTGAAGTGTCCTCGCCCATGCAAGTCACGAGACTTGCGTCTAGTTTTGGCAAAAATTGTGTCACGTAGGAAACCGAACACTAAATCTAGTGACTAAATCTCTGAGTTTGCAACACTGTTTACATCGGAACTCCACTCAATAGCACACACCCGCTCACTCACCAGCACAGACCACTCCACACACCCGCTTATTCACCAGCGCACCCCACTCACCAGCACACTCCACTCCACACACCCGCTCATTCACCAGCACACACCACTAACCAGCACATCCCACTCCACACACCCGCTCATTCACCAGCGCACACCACTCAATCACCAGCACACCCAACTCACCAGCACACCCCACTCCACACACCCCTCACTCACCAGCGCACACCACTCCACACACCTCGCTCATTCACCAGCGCACACCACTCCGCACACGAACGCACCTCCACCACTCACATTAAAGTCGCTCCACGCACGATGGCGAGCCTGAGATGGGCTCGTCTTGGCGTGAGATCAATTCGGCAGATGAGATTCCATGACGGGTTTTTGATGACGCTGTAATTAGTTTTTCAAGTCATCAAGTCATTGACAGATTCTGCTGGCATCAGCCCCACGCACACACGCGAGGCTGACGTCAGACTCACGAACATTATCGGTTCATTTCGTGCGGCTCTTTAATCGTCGATTACATCTCATGCACCTGTTGTCTGCATCTAAATTATGCATGCGCTTGCTTTGCTATTGAGTGCAATGTCATTTCATAACGCGAACACGAAGCCTCGTCATCACTGTCGTTCCACCCTTTCGTCACCTCCCGCATGGGTTTTTAAATCCTTTATATTAAGTTCGCTTGCTTGCTTGCTTACGACCGTGCAAACCTTTCGGTCGTTTTTTAACCCACTTCCCGTGATCCAGTCGAGCTGACATTTTGCACACAGACTCGTTGTGCGAGACAATTAATGTTCGTGAAATTTTTTTTCCAAAATTTTACACTGTTTAGGGAAAACAAATTAAATATTTAATTACCAATTGTTTAATACTGCAGACAATCATCTGACCCATAGGTGGCAGCCATCTCAAGCCAGAGGACGAGAGGACTCTAGCCGCCACGCATATAAAGGATTTAGAGTGAAAAACTTTGTTTTTACGGGTTATACTTATTTATTTTTAAATCCTTTATATTAAGTTCGCTTGCTTGCTTGCGTGCTTGCTTGCGTGCTTGCTTGCTTGCTTACGACCGTGCAAATCTTTCTGTCGTTTTTTAACCCACTTCCCGTGATCCAATCGAGCTGACATTTTCCACACAGACTCGTTGTAACAGACAATTAATGTTCGTGAAAATAAAAATAAAAAATTAAACACTTTTTAGGCAAAATTTTTTTTTTACATTTATTCAAATAGAACTCATTCATGGCTTTGGCTGAACGTCACAGTATAGGAGCCCAGAGCGTAACCCCTCCACAGGCCGTGGCGGAGTAGCGCAGTTGGTAGCACCCTCGCTTCCCATGCCAAAGGTCGCGGGATCGATCCCCGCGTCCTCCACAGGCGAATATATTTTAAATCCTTTATATTAAGTTCGCTTGCTTGCTTAGGACCGTGCAAATCTTTCGGTCGTTTTTTAACCCATTTCCCGTGATCCAATCGAGCTGACATTTTCCAGACAGACTCGTTGTGCGTGACAATGAATTTTCGTGAAAATTTGTTTCCAAAATTTTACACTGTTTAGGGAATTTTTTTTAAATATTTAATTACCAATTGCTTAATGCTGCCAGACAATCATTGACCCATAGGTGGCAGCCATCTCAAGCCAGAGGACGAGAGGACTCTAGCCAGCCACGCATATAAAAGATTGATAGTGAAAAACTTTGTTTTTACGGGTTATTTTTTTTAATTCTAAACCCTCTTTGTCAATCCACTGCTGGATGAACACCTCCTCTCTGTGACGCGTCGACCGTGACGGTTGTTCGACCATACTTCACCACGCTGGTCTGTGCGAGTTGAAGGTAGCACGCATTGAAGAGGGTTGCTGGTGGATCGGTTCTCGGTTCAGATGTCGCTCACCACTGACGTTGTCCACGGCCTGGAATTGAAATTCATCCGCCGATTGATGGCTCCTGAATCACCAGGGCTGAGTGGCCGGTTGTAACGGACGGAGCAACGGGGCCGGTGCATGTGCGTGTGTGTGTGCACTGCGGCAACAATAACCCAAGTTCGATTCCCGCTCACGGCCAACCCTGGTGACGAGTGTCTAAACCCGGTACTCGGCCCTCCCACAGGTCGACTCAGACTCAAATGAGTACCCGGTGCGGTGTGTAAACATCACCCCTGGGGAGACAAAGGCGGCCGGGCGGCGTGGTGCTGGCCACCCACCCCCTCGTGTGCCGTGCCGGCCTTCATAGGTGCTCGCTAACAGCAATTGCCCCAACAGTCTGTTCAGGCTGCACGGGGGATCGTTGCTTTTATCTTTTGGACCCATCTGTGTGCTTTGTAAACATCAGCACCGGGGAGTCGGGTTGCCCCATGTCCAGGTTTGACCCAGACAGTCTGAGAGTTGGCATCTATGCTATATTGACTTTACCGCGAATGAGCATTATCGTAGTACACCTGCACAATTTTGCTCGGCCGAGGCTGACTGAGAAATATGTCCGCGTCTGATGGGGGGGAAAAGGTGGCAACCCTAAAAGGGAGACAAAGGCGGTCGGGGGTGGTGCCGGCCACACTTGAACCCGCCCAGCGTGAACAGGTGCTCGCTCGCAGCAGGTGCCCCCCCCCCCCACAGCCTCCCATGTAGGCTACACGGAGGATCGCAATCTGTTGCCTTTGTGTGTGTGAGATTTGAGCAGACACGATATCTGTTGCCAGGGCAACGCAATTGGGTCCGTCAGGTTACCGACTCAGCGGGATGCACGCGGGCTCACCAGAGCCCTCTGGTGGAACTCACTGAACACTGCTGTCACAATAATGCCACGTGCGTCACAAAGAAGTGCGTGGCATTGTGAACAGCAGCAGGGGCGTGAAACCCAATCGGACAGCGGAGCGCTTTGGATTCAAATCCACCTCCCGCGGGCCACAGAGTTGAGCCTATGCAAATGAAAAGCATAAGAGCGCGGTATTCATGTGCCGAACATCGGCTGTGTAAAAACGGTAGCTCGATCCAAGCCGCGTACTGTCAAACCATATTAAACACATTCCTGCTGCGGAGGAGCTGGTAGGAACGTTGGGTTGCTCGGTCAATGGCCAGGGTCAACGGCGGCGTGGTGTATTCCGCAAATATGCCCGACTGTGAGGGCGGGCACAAGCCGGCGTGACTAGGTTCTCCGACTGATGTCACAATTCGTTCGTTTCTCAGTCCGCTTGTCCTGGCGAAGGTCACGGCGGCAGCGAGTTGAGTCCAAACCTCCCTTGCCCTGGCGACAGACTCCAGCACGACTAAACGATACACTACTACTCGATACACTACTATACCATACTACGCTATACACTTCTACACTCCTATACACCACTACACGTTTCCACCCCTATACACTACTACACTATAAACTACACTATACACTACTACACTACGACACTGTAAACTGCACGACTACACACTACTAAAACTATACACTACTACACTATACACTACTACACTTTACACTACTACACTATACACTACTACACTATACACTACTACACTATACACTACTACACTTACACTACTACACTATACACTACTACACTATACACTACTACACTATACACTACACTATACACTACTACACTACACACTACTACACTATACACTACACACTACTACACTATACACTACTACACTATACACTACACGACTACGCACAGACTCTAGCTCTTCCTGGGGAATTCCCAGGCGTTCCCAGGCCAGCCGAGCGCGTGCTGTCCGCTGGAGTTCCATGGAGAAGTCTACCGCATCATCACAATTCTCTAAAATACAATCTCTTTTCACGCGTTCGTCGGATTTTTTATAAAATTTAAAACGGACATTTAAACGCGGAATTGGTTGCTGCTGGAGTGATTAGGATGGCCGCGTCTGTCGGGTATTACGTGTATGGAAGCAGCGCGAGGAACTTCCTCGGATTTCTAAGGGACACAGAGGTGGGGTGGAGGGGGGGTAATTCCGCGGATGTCTATTTGCCCAGATAACGTGGCCGTGGAGAGGGACGGGGGAGAGGGGTGGGGGTGCACACATCGCGTGATGGGGAGAACTGCACACGCGCGGGTGGACCGGGTGAGGGCGGCGGGGGGTCAGGGAGGGGAGGGGGTGGAGGAGGTCGAGGCGAGGGGGCATCGATAGGGAGAGAGGGGGGGGGTTAGAATGTCTTTTTTATATTTCAATAAGTCATGAAATTTGAACACGTGGCGGGCCGGAGGAAGAGGCTTTTGGGGGAGTGAGTGCGGCCCGCGGCCCGTGTGCTTGCCCACTCCCTGGTCGTCTTCTTCGTCGTCTCTCCTGTCCAACCGATATCGTCTTCAGGGTTGCGATTTCCGCATGGAAAATGCGGAAGGAGGGTTCAAATTTTCCCGCATTTTTGCTAAAGTCAACCGCAAACGGTGGAAAGACTACTCCTATGACCGCGCGCTTTTAACAACACGTTAATGCGTTCTATTGGAAAGGATACATGCAAGGCCCAGCATCACGTAGGGCTTTGAGTTACTGATTGGAATGAATATATGATTTCCGCATTTCCGCACAAGAACCACATACTTTATTCAAATGCGGAGCCGTGATTACGAGCACATGTACATGATGTATCCTTTCCAATAGAACGCATTAACGTGTTGTTAAAAGCGCGCGGTCATAGGAGTAGTCTTTCCACCGTTTGCGGTTGACTTTAGCAAAAATGCGGGTAAATTTGAACCCTCCTTCCGCATTTTCCATGCGGAAATCGCAACCCTGATCGTCTTCCCCCCCCCCCCCCCCCCCCAATGTTCTGCACAGGCCACCGCTTCTGGTGTTGGCATTGCCAAATCTCGAGGATAGTGCATTGTGGTTGCTGCCAGGGCTTCTCTTCTGGGATGGATGGTGGTGGGAATCAGAGACCAGATGGCTCAATGAGCCGTTCTGTCTACAGGAAAGTAACCCATACTGACGCCTACCTAAAACCTGATTCCCACCACCATCCATCACGGAAGAATTCCCTCATCGAAACGCTACACCATAGAGCTCAATGTATCTCCGACCATGAACACCTAACCAGTTAACTCAAACACGTGCACCACGTTCTCAAGGCGAATGGATATTCTGACTACACAATCCGCAAAGCCGTCACCCCAACCGTGAGGAAGGCGCCATCTGTGGATCCAATCAAAACCATCACCCTGCCATACATAGCAGAGATAACCAAAAATATTTCCAAAATCATGAACAAATACAAGATCCAGGTTCGGTTTAAGACAGTACATAAAATTACGTGAAGGACAAGATTGCTGACATGCAATATCCCAGCGTCTACAAACTAAGCTGTGTCTGCGGCAGCAGTTACATTGGGGAAACTAAGCGACATGTCTCGGACCGTGTTAGTGAACATAAGGCAGATCTGAAACACGGCAGGACCAATAATTCTGCCGTGGCTGATCATTATTTTAATGCGGCTGGCTCACACGAAATGATTTCTCTAAGACGATGGTACTTTGCAAGCCTACTGGCTATCAACAAAGATTCCTTCAATTTAAAGCTTTCGTGACTGCAGGGATTAATCTTCTTGGTTCTTTCGGTAAAGTCACGTAGAAGGGAAATAATAAAATAATAAAAATAAACCATAAAAAACAATACGTGACTTTACCGAAAGAACCAAGAAGAAAGATTCGTTCATGAAGCCATCCATATATACAGACACAATTTCAACCGAGAGGAAGGTTCTAGACTCAGCAATCATTGGAAAGATGTCATCAACCACTTTGGGTCATAACTTGACTTGTGTTTTCTTGTCAATCAACCTCCACCGTCAGCAGTGTGGTGGGTGGAGCGGGGTGCAGGGATTTCCTGGCGGCCCTTTGCTGCATTGGCATTGCCGCTGCATTGGCATTGCTGCTGCATTGGCATTGCTGCTGCATTGGCATTTCTGCCCCGCCAATGCTGTTGGTGCTGTTGATACACTTGGGCTACGCCCATCTCCAAACCTTTATAAACAGTTTGCTTTTAGAGGCTAACCCATTTTCCTGATGACGACCGCTTATGTTGCGATCGAAGCGTCGTGATATTTTTATTCACTTTATATTTTTTCTTTCTATCTACGTAACTTTATAGAAAGAACCAAAGAATATGAATCCATTCGACTGTAGAGAAATTGTGACATCACGCTTTAAACGCACATCATTGTCCACTTGTCATATCGGGGTGACCAGCGTACTGAGTGCGAATTGATAGCGCCCTCTCCTGGCCGCAGTATAGAAGGACATCTGCCACTTCAGCATTCTCTTGAACTATGTTTTATTTTACCAGGTATGGCCCCACTGAACGACGTAGAAGCGACCTGGCCACACATATTCGCTCAACGAAGTGGCCGCGTCTCACCAGCTGCTGTTGCCGATATTATGCTATCATATTTATGTGCAGACACGAATATGGGAAGGTGGCATTATTTATTATTACAATCACCAACAACGACGCTTAATGATTGTGTTATAGATGAAATTGATTTAAAATTCTGAAACGTGTATTGGCAATTTACACAGCACACTGATTGATTTGTTCACTGGGCAGACGACTTATAATTGATACCCTTTCTTCTGTATTGTAAGACTCACCACCAAACCTTGCTTTAAATGACATCGGGAAAAATTGCGTCTTTAAAGCCGGAGTTTACGATACAGTAATATATATTTGAAATTTTGTAATTCATTTATCTGTCAATAGGTGGCTCTAGTAACCTATCACAACCAGTAACTCCATTTTAAAAAAAGACAGTCGCCTTTTTAAAAAGCGGACTTTTTGTTGTTACACATCTTTCGTGAATTGCTCATTCTTCTACTTTTGGTTCTGAATTTGAAAGCGGAATAAAAATGTATCTTATCATCAAATCACGAGTTTTTATGGGGTTCAGTGGCGGTGGTGCACGCGCACTGCACCATGGGACCCATCGAGCGACCGGCGTTTTATTCCAGGCCATGGCTCAATATTCGTGCCAATCGATATCTAGTTCGGTCCTTTACCAACAACCCATGCTGACGAACGTGACTGCCACAATGGGAGGGCCTTCATCCATTATATTTTTTAAAGACGGCTGTATTTATTTTTACTGACTAGAGGTTCGAGGGGATACTGATAATAAAATTAAATGTCAAGTGTTTTTACCAACTGGTATTTTCAGGCAATATTACAATTCAGTCAATTCTCTCCCATCCAAATTTCTTTCCATGAACATTCCCAAAGCTCTTACGGCCTTTCTCATTTCGAGAAATGTGCTAAGTCCTATAACAACTCTGACAGTGCTGTGTGTTGCCAACTGCTTGACGTGTTGGGGCTTTGGGCCACCTGTGTTTAAGAAAAAGTATTGAAAGTTGGGTGGTAGTTGGTGTCAAGATGGACTCAGAAGGGTACAATGAATCATCAGCGTGAGGATGTTTCTCTTGCAACCTATGGGACATGTACGTGCTCCGAATGAGCAAGCATTCCCATTGGGATATGGTGTTCTTTGAGGGGTATTGAGAGACAGAAAATGGAGTACATTTATTAACGGTTACATACAATTTTAATGGTTAAGAAAAAGCATGTGAGTTTGGGTAGGTCACATCGCTAGGAGGGAGCAATTGCAGGGGTGTGCACCTTAACCTCATTTAGCATAAAACGCGTCTTATAATGGCAACAGTTAATTTATTGAAAAAAGCCTCCCAGTTCCAAAGGTGAGACAGCACATGACATTGAATGGAACCCGTGATGCGGGAAGACATACAAAGGCGGACATCAAACACCTATCGATTTCAAACCGTCTATTATATAAAAGTGAGATTTATGTAGTCGACAATTGTCCACTAGTGAACGCACACGCTGAGAAAATAGTATTGCATGTTTTTAAAAGTACCTTACGGACCTGGTATATCAGTATTTAACAATATATTTATGCTACAATATTTACTTACATCATCATTACAGCCTAAAGCACAATAATGGAACAGGAGAAACCCCATTACAATTTCCAAAGTGGAAGGTCTTTTCAGTTATTTGACAACATAAAAAAAGATGCCCATGTTAACCTCAAATTATCAGGACAAGTGCTGTTCTCAATTATTGAGGCTAGCGTGGCACAAGATTGAGTGGTGGTAGAGGCAGTGACACACCTGGCCATCTTTGTCTCTCCGGTGCAGTTAAGCCTCAAAACTGCAGGATATGCACATTTTTGGCTGGCTCAGCATCCCGAAGGGATCTGCGAAGTTGAAAATGTATTTTGGCAAATCATGTCGTGCATCATGACAAGGCTCAAACCCAGGTTAACTGGGACGGTGGTCGAAGCGTGCAAGCTTCTGCACTCTCTCCGCTTGCATTCACTGTAATGCCCACGTGCGCAAAGCAGTTTGCGTTTCTAAAGTATTGTCGTCAAAGTTAGGCCACACTTGTCGACGTTAATGGGTTTCCTCCCCTCTCAAAAGAATAGCAGCATACGTCACATACATTTTGCTAGATACACGATACTATAAAGCTATATTAATCGTCTTTTCATCGACCTCGTTAACAGCACACTAAACAGGATGCACTTATGCCTAACGATAATTATATCAACAGCAATTAAATACAACATAAGGGCGTCCTCTATAGAAATCGGCACAACTCCGTCACGTCACATCCAACCGTCCGTCCGTCCACCCAACCAATCAACCCATTGGCAGCCAAAAAGAAATTAGATTTGGTTTGTGAACAAAACCAGCAAGCTGAGAAGTTAGGTTTTAGTTTGTTAATGTCTGTACATAGATACATACATAAGCAGTCTCCGTAAATGTTAAGAGAAATTGCACCTGTTAAGAGAATTATTTTTTAAATTAATGTCTGCTGGCAAATATTAATTTGTATCAAAAAAAGTTTAACGCAATGTTAAAAATAATTAGTGCTTGGAGTCACCAAGTATGAGGCTGCATATGTGGTGTACATGTACAGTTATATGCATTTCCTTCAATTGAGGTTGCCAAATAAAATGTAATATTCTGCAAAGAAACAAAAGACATGTTTCATGCTATCTGCTTTTTGTTAAGCTCCGGTGGTTTAGTTAACAGCCATTCGAAACCACAGTAACCACGAATGCATCCGTGTGCTTAAACTAATTTTATCTTAAGCGCTTGACCTACCAACCATATGTATGTTGCGCGTGCCATGTCTATGTCTGCAAGCATGGCAGCTATTGAATAATTTTAGCATTTATTTCAGCATCTGTACACACGACGCCAATAATATCCACGCGATAACATCAACGTTAGTGCGCACGAGGTGATTTTTCTACAGCTACTCAAAAGGCATTTCGTCCCTGAATGACTGACTGCATAATTTGAAATTGCTGGAAACCTATGCACATTATTTTTTTCTTAATTGAATTGTGACAAGTGGGAAGTTGCTGCGCTTTCTGATTAGGGTGGCCGGATGCTCGAGCTGATAGTCTCGGAGGGGGGGTGGGGACACTGGTTGGAAGGCAGAGTACGACTTTTGGCATTCGCGGGTTTGTGGTGGAGATGGATGATAACGACCAAGTCAGTAAAACCAAGTCAGATTACACGTTGGGATATAAACGAAGGGGTTAGTTGGTTGCCCATTATTAAGTCCTAAATCAGTGCTCACACAAATACGTAGTTGCTGGCATTTGCACACGCAAGCCTTTAACAGACAGTTGAGGCCAGTGCTGTCAGCAACAACATATGAAGGCCAGAACGGCATACGAGAGGGTGGTGTGGCCAGCACCACACCCGGGGCCGCCTTTGCCTCCCCAGTGGCGATGTTTTTATACGTCACACCAGGTACTCATTTGAGACTGAATCTACCAAGGGGAGGCCCTGGATCGGTTCAGATATTCGCTGTCACTATTGGTCACGAGCTGGAATCGAACTCAGGTCGCGCGGTTCGTAGTGCACTGCGCCACCATTCCCTACGCGCACGCACACACACACATTGTCCTGAAATGAACTGGATCGTCCCACTATCCCAGTCACTAACTTCTCCAAAGGCTGCGGTTTATCAACACCATCATCCGCGTCGGACGCAGGTGACACATCCTCTCAAATGGGGCTTACAGGTCATTGTGGGGTGATGGGGCCACTAAGTACAACAATTATCTCGGAGGCATCACCGCCCGAGCCGGTGGATGAGATCAACTTTAGCAAGAGCGACGGCTACCGAGTGCTCAACGTCGACTATTCCTCACTTGCCCTGCCAGTTGCAGTATAAATACATTTCTAGGTTCCTTTACAACCCAATGACCTTTAGCTGCTGTTGCATCGCGACTCGTGAAACGCGGGCTGTTTAACCGCACCAGCACCCCGTACGCACTGTACGCCCCGTACACAGCGAGGATTGCTCTTTAGCTCCCACTCAAGGGACTCGGGGTTGCAGGCCAGTGGCTATGATGTAGGGATGGTCGGAACTGCAATTCTTAACGGTGTCAAGTAGTCAAGACAAATTTCCAATCGTGTTTATTTCAAAATGCAATGATTTTCTTCACAACGCCTTATAATCTGCCTACCTCCACAGCAGGAAAAAATAAACCGCATCGTGTTTTAACCGTAATGATCGGCACCTAACCGCAACTTAAGAAATCAGAAGCCAAAAAAGAGAGTACACCAATCGCAATTCTCCAAAGCAGCGTGGTCGCCATCGCTGACGTTCTACAAAAACGAGGCACTAGGGGGGTAAACGGCGACGTGAGCAGATCGCCCGAGTGAGCGCCAACAGCCGGAGATAAAAATACCTGCCGCCCCTCTCTGTTGTCGCTCGATCGCCTCACCTAAGCATGAGATGCTGCAGTGGGCGGGGGGGGGGGGTGTAGCGGCGAGAGTGGAGAACGGTTGGGGGGGGGTCGAGTTAGCAGGTGGCGAGAGTGAAACTCAAGCCCGAGGTGGCAGGTGCATGCCGTGGGCAAAACCTCGCTCAGGAGTACACGGCGGGAGGAGGGAGGGGGGGGGGCCTTGTGCCGGGTATTTATGGACGCTAGGAAGGGCCGGGTGTGTGCGTACGTCTAAGTGTGCGCATTCACGCGTGCGCTTTAACGCTCACGACCGCAAACGCCTACGTGCGCCCCACCCCCGCCAGCTTGTGTTACGGTGTCGCTCTGCGATGTTGTTCCGGGTTGTACCGCGTGCTGTCCGGTAACGGTGTCCCGACGTCTCGCTCCACATGCTGGGGAGCTTCAGCTCCGGGACGTCGCGCCGAACGTCACGCGGCACGACACGCGGCACGACACGCGGCACACACGTCGGAGAGCCCTCCCCCACCCCCCTCCCCCTCAACGTGAACGACGGCCACCGATTTTGTCGACGTGGCACCTGCCCGTGCGTACGCGAAAGGACGGTGCATTTTTACCGCACTGTGATTTTCGGCACACGCACACACACAAGGACTTTGGGTGAAATGTTGGCAACACACACCCATAACGTCTGTCTGGGCAGCATGTGTCTGTGTATGCGTGTACATGTGCACCTAGCCTGGCACAAGCGCCGTGGTGACGTCACCGCCACTTAGTGGCGAAGGTCGTGTATTGTTGTTGTGTGCGTGTGTGCGCGTGTTGTTATTGTGTGCGTGTGTGCGCGTGTCGGTGTATATACAGGCGGCGCCAGCAGCAGTGACGACACCTAGGTGAGCATGTCCCACACGCAGCAGCAGCACATGGCGGCCATGCAGGCCGTCAGGCACGTCTCGGTGGTGCTGCTGTTGTTGTTGCGTCTCTGCTCCTGCACCACGTACACTGAGGGCGACACGACATCCAACAGCAGCAACAACGGCAAGCGCGCACGTGTTAGACGAGTTGACAACTTTGGAACCGAACTTCGGCACGGCCTTTGACGAACTCAACCGTCAGATCTCGTCCCCAACCGTCAGATATCGCCCCTGATCGTCAGATCTCGAAAGCTAAGCGGGGTGGGGCTTGGCAGGGGGTTGGATGGGCGACCACCATGGAACAACAACATGGGGTTGCTGCTTGGCTGCGTGGTGGGAACCAGACAGCAGTGGAGAAAAATCGATTGTTGTACTGTACATTTATGCTCCCACGTCAACGCTCCCCACCATTATCAACCCGCACTGCCGAGTAGTCATACAACGGCCACGACTCACGTGGCATTGGGGAGGCTCCTATCCAGCAGTGGATTGACAAAGTGTTCGTCAAACTTATACTATAGACCTTCTCAAGAGAAGAACGTTGGACACATTTCACAACAAATTTAAAGTGTTGTTGTTTTTTTGGGTACAGTTATTGATCATTAACTCGCTCCACTCGAAAATCTGGTTTTAATCATGCACGGTTGAATCGCGGACTTGAACCCTGGGCCCTCAATGTTGCTCGAAAAGCGGAGCCACCCGGCCACATCCCTGCAACCCCGTTTGAAGAAATAATAAAAGGGAGGTCTACCTGTTAATTATTCATCACACACACAACAGGAGAACGTTCCATAATTTATGCATTCGCAGGTGACCTTTATAATAAATAACTGGCAGTAGACTTTGCCCACATTATTATATCATCATCATCACACCCAATGGGAAGGCTAATTACTGGGTTCACCGATGACAAGTATCATTTGTTTGCAAGTACTAGCGTGAAATTTAAGACACATTAGAGATTGAGGCCAATGCTACCCTATGCGTAAAACCAATGAAACTCCCGGCCATAATTTTCAATGGCCCACAATTGGAAAACGTTGGTATTTGCGTAATAGCTTAACATAGATCCGACTATATTTGCACTAAATATCAGCATGCGATTAAAATTTACATCGGTCACTCAGGTTGCAATAGGTTAAACAACATTAGATGTGCCATTTCACAAACGCACGCCCTCAACGCACGATGACCTCCAAGCCGTGCAAGCTAAAACGTCCCATGCATCTGTGGGGGATAGGGACTGTGGTGTCCATGGGGCTAGAGAAGTTGGGGCAGTTCCACGAACAGGGCAAGCTTGCAATTCCTAACGCCATCGTGCGGCCGTGCGTCAATGCACACTGCAGGATGAGGGCCCTTCTCACCACGTGTGCGTCGTCAGGGGTGACTAGCTTCTACTGGTTCAGTGCACTGGGCAGTGTGCCTTGGAGCATAGATATGGGTGCAGAGTACAATACAACTGTCCTCCGATTCTGACCAGGTAGCCCCCATGGCCTATGATAAACTGTCATACATGGTGATCACCCATACAAGCATTATCCGTGCTCAGTCTTGCTAAGCTTGAGACCTCATGATGGGTTGTGGAAAATTGTATTATCATTCTAATAAGACTACATATGGAGTGTTATTTTGAAGATAATTATAGTTTTAGAAAACATGGATTGTCATGGAATAAACTAACGAATTGACACTTCGATGAAATTCAATGCACCATCACCATCGCAGGGTGGATGAAAAAGTCAGTTTGTCTGCCACGATATTAACAACATTCTCCCCAATTAATAAAAGTGGAGAAAAAATGTCTATCTGAATTACAGTCCTCATTGTTTAACATGATATGCCCCAAAAATAAAGAGCCAACTCAAAATAAATAGCCACTTTGTGATCATTACCTGCGAATCGTTACCCACAGCCTAAAGGCGTCTGACATGTACATCCAAAAGCGTAGAACTGTCCAGGTGTAATAGCATCGCATGCCTGCTAAAGTCGCGAATGAAGACGGCCGTTTAGTCGACTGTAAACAGGAAGTGCAGTCAGCAAGTGCCACACGCTTCAAGAACCAGTTGAGAGCAAAAGTCCACTCAAGGGAAACTTATCTCCCACTGTGGTCCTCAATAAACATGTATTGATTCTCAGGAGGAAGGCTTCTTCAATTAAGTCTGAGGATCATATCTGGAAAATACAAATAGCAGGTGTTAAAATGAAGTGAATTTTAGCCAGATTGCACTTCAGTCTTGGTTGCTACACTCGCGATACAGGCAGGTGACAATTTGGAAATTACGTCAAACGCAAATTACATGCAAATGTTGCAGTTGGGTTAAAGGAGTGGACAAAATTGTAGAGATGAAACAAAATGAGAGGAGTGATGCATCGCAAGATGGGGAAAAACTTTTGAGAGAAAATAACTGAACCTCGTCATCCGCCTGGACAGTTCTAAATGTTCACAAAAAATATGGAAACCAGAGTGCTGGGGGGGAGAAGGGGGGGGCAGGGAGAAAGTCGCTTCTCAAGTCCTGTGGCTCGTGGAAACGCACTCGAAGTTGCTGATAACTGCTCCCCCAAGCGGACAACTGGGATGGCAACTTCAAATCAGAATCGCTGACGGAAGTCACGTGGACTACCCGAGGTTGCAGTGTTTTGTAGTCCAGTCATTGTTGATCACTCACTTTTCAACAAACACTTGTTTTCACTGGCCAGACACAACTCCATCAATCAACGGTACTATTGCCATACACTGAACAATTATGAATAACCCACAGTGCAAGTGCAGTAACCAATCTAAAACTGTGGAATACGTAGGAAGGCCACCATCCCCTTGAACATTCACGAGCAGAGTTTCAGATTTTTTCACCATGAGGCTACTCCAAAGCTGTCCACTGGCTCACCCACCAGACATGACCAGATAAACACTGCTGATCAACTCCCCACCGTGGGAAAGAAGATTAATCATGCAAAGTTGGCGTAGTTGCTCAACGTAAATGAGTTTCCGGCGATGATTAAAATCTGTAGTTGCAGTTCAAAAACAACCTTTGTCCAGGACTTTTGCAACACAGAATACGCAAAAGGAAATATTGAGGTTAGTTGTGCAAGTTTTACAAAGCGTCGCATTGGTAACGCACAAACCCCAGTGTGCGCTTCAGGGCTGTTGTGCCCTACGACACACCAGCGGCGAGATAGCGGTGTAAAGCAGAAATTGAGAAACGTGGAGAAAGGCTTTCGTCAGATATTTCTTCAGAACGTAAGGAGACGTTTGCAGTCGCAGGCATGCTTCCTTGTTGCGCAGTCGCGAAAGAAGAGTGGTGTGATGTAGAATCTTCCTAATGAGTAGGTTACCCATCCTCCTCTGCTGACCCCGTAGCCTTGAACTCCCTTCTTCCAGCTATCTGTCCTGTTGACTCCCTGCTGCTGTTCAAGTCCGAAGTTAAAGACCTTCCGTCTACGCCTGACTGCCTCCACAAAATGCATATGCGCACTCATCCTGTACAACGTCTTGAGATCGCTGTATAAAACTAATTAACATTTTATTGTTTTAGAAATAAAAAAGGATTTTGGACGCAAATGCCAGGCAGCACCAACCCTAACGTTGGGGGTCCTAATTTCGGCGAGCAACTTCCAGCGAAATGCAACCACTGTACACCAGCAGCCTCTTAGGGGGAATGGTGTCGCAGGCCCGACTCACACACACACCAAATATAACCAGAGCCATGCCAACGGGCCTCCCACCCTGTATCGTATGCTAAACAAGGCACCAGTTCAGACACAACGCGTGCTCTGTTCCACTCACCGCCGGATAAATCATGGGGCTCCGTGGAGGGAGGGAGAGAGGGGGCCTTCAGGGAAAAGTGCGTTAAGCATCTACATCATTAGACCTCCTGTGCCAGTACCAAAATATAATAGGGTTTTCCCCTTTTTTTTTCTGGCAACAAAACTGAAACCTTTTTACAAGGATTCATGTCTGAATTAACCACAATACTTGCAGTCAAAATGCAAACAAAAACATACTATGATAATATATGCATTGTCCTTGAAACTGATTGCTATTTTGATTGCAAGTATTGTGGTCAATGCAGACATGAATCCTTGTAAAAAGGTTTCAATTTTGTTGCCAGAAAAAAGGGGAAAAACCCTATAATTATAAGTGCGTTAAGCTTGCAAAAACAATTATCGGTGGACAGTCCTGCCTGCTCTGGGTTTTCCAACCAAACTTTTAACAAGAAAAATCATGCATTACACATTGCTTTCCCAAGATAAGTTTGTCCATGGAAGTATTATAGTAATATAGTAATAGGTTTTTACCCTTTCAACTGGTACAAAAACTGACACCTTTATACAAGGCATCATGTTTGCAATAACCACAACACAAGCAGTCAAAATGCAAACAAAAAGAAACAACTCTGATGATGATAATGATATGCACTGTCCTTGAAGTTGATTGGTCCACACCTGAGACAGCTTTTCTTAGAGCCTAGTCTCCATTAGTGTTGGACCAGATGACGCCAAAAGGCGTACAACTCAAAAACAGTGCACTATCAGAGTTTGCCATTACGAGTAAGGTACATTTCATTAAAGCGTGTTTTTTTAAAGTATTTTTAAATATTACTTATTTTATAGCTAGATCAATAACTACAACATCCATGCCTCACTCGGCACCCCACATGTCCCTCACCCTTCCCCTAGCTGGGTGTAAATGTTAATTTAAATGCTTATCTGCAAACAGCATCTGCAATGTGCTGATCTTCGGGTCAGACTGCAAATGAAGCAGATTACAGAACTGTCTGCACCACTCCACTGCCCCACTGCCCCTCCCTTCAAATGGTGCTGTGCATACTTCACTCCATTGTGACGCTAGATAAACAGACCAATGACGACTACTACAACCACCACCGTTTTTATTTCACCTTTTCACTATGATCTCCTTAAGCATAATAATGTCCTTCACCCTATAAACGTGGGCAGAAGATGGTGGAACAACAATGACTTATTGAATCTGTGTGGAGATTTAAAGGTTACCCCTTCTCCTCGTATTCCTGGGTTGTCTCCAGGTTCTCTAGTTCAGCTTAACACAGAGGCTTCTCCAGTTGCCTCTCACATGCCAAACACAACACATTCGTAGAATTGGCCGTGCATCCCTGTGAAACAGTCCACCTCTCTTCTGATCCGGCAAAGGATTTCCCGGGATAAATTAAGTCCATTATTATGATTATTCTTATACAATCGTCATTTATTGTCAAAGCCTATCTGTTTCACATATTTTAATTTGTTTGCCATTTTTCTGCAGCTATTGAAAGCCAGGTTCTCCCTCTTGAAGAGTTTTTTTATCTGGTCACAAGCAACAGCCATCGATCTGAAATTCACCACATCGCTCTGTCACACGTTAAAGCCCCCGCGAGGCTTTCTCGAGTGTACAGAATCAGAATACTTATTTATACGGGAGGAATCCGATGAGCTATAAAACTATTTTTCTCAGATGCCCAGTCGGGGCGGTTAAGAACGTTACAACAACAAACAATACAAAAACACGATAGCACTGCAAAGTACAAAAAGGGAAAGAAATAACCCAAATAAACGCAATGAAAACTAAAACATCTCCCTCCTACCAGGCAAAGCCCACTGAGGTATTAACTTTTTCAAAAGCCACTCAAGATGAAAGTTTTATTTATTTATTTTCCAAGTCAAGCCTCCCGGATTCTATTCAGTTGCCCGTTAAGCTGAAGCACTGCGTGTTTTGTTTAAAGACAATCCCTCTATATTTACTGGCCGCTCAGCTCTGGTGAAAAACGCATTTATATATATCGACAAAGTATAGAGGCATAGATGTAGAGCAGAAGAGGGAATCTTGAGCAACCAGTAAATATTAACAGGTTAGAATTACAGCAGTCGAATTAGGATGTGATCCAAGGCAGCCAAAACTTCACTTATCGCTAAAGTGTACATGTCGAGTGGCCCCCTAGCATACAAGCGACGGTGTTATCCTTGTAACACACCGAGGTCCAACAGGCTCAGCACCCACCGGCACTCGGCTCCACAGGCCAAAGTACTCCCCCCCGCCCCCACGTGCCCGTCGCCCCCCCCTCTCACCCGTATCTAAGCTACCGGTGTAGTAGGCGAGGTTGGCAGGCGAGTGGGTGGAGCCCATGAGTGGTGGGCGTGGCTGGCGACAGGATTGGGAACCACGGCGCACCCTGGTTAAGCTCTCGCAGGAATCCGGTAGCCGTACCTGTATCGGGCTTGGGCTGCGCGCCATAGTGTCCCGGCGGCTGTGGCTGCGGAGCGTATCCCGGGTAGCCTGGCGCCCCGGGCTGCCAGTTGTACTGCGGCTGTCCCGGCGGCCCGTAGCCCGGCTGGGAACCAGGAGGGTAGGGCGCTGGGGAGAGACGGCGAGCACGAGGTGAATGTGACGAAGAGATAAAGCGTGCCCAGCGGATACATTCACCTCTGTGTGTAAACTGCTACATTATTAAACGAAACAATCTTCATTTTGAGCTATACAGCTCTTTTTACAGAGCCACAAATCGTAGTTCGACGAAGTGGCTTATCGTCAAGTGGAAATTTATTGCAGCCGTGATACTCTAAACGCATGCTGATTCTAAATGTGGAGGGAAATTTGAAGGACCTGAAGAAAAATCCACGCGACCACTGACAGAACACGCAAACTCCAAATATACAGGTGTCAGACAGGATCAAACCCACAAGCTCCTGCATACCAGGCGAGGGAGTTAACATCTCACCACCACAACATGTCCATCGACCCTCCAAGGTCGATACAATGAATGCCACTTGATGCAGATCTGTTTCTCCGTGTGAACACGAAAGATGCCCATCATCCCTGCACGGTTAATACAATGAGTACCACTTTCAGCAGATATTATAGTCATCAGTGTGAGCACTAAGCATGCTGATTATTCTTTCAGGATTACCAAAATTTGGTACTACTTTGTTAGATGTCCATAGTTGAGTATTTGTATTGATTGACAACCCCTGCAAAAATAATGTTTAATTTGCAACAATGTCTCAGTGTACTTATAGGAGATGGGTTCGGTACAATACAACGTGGATTAATATAGCGCCTCTAAACGCTTTACAAAAAGTGGGCATCCACATAAAAACAAATCTATACCTCGTGATGGATAAAATGACTTGACTTTTAAGGACATTACATTAGCCATAGGTTTCTGCACATGACGTCTGGTAATGGCACGCTATTCATGAATTTAAGTTAACAAAACCACAAACCAGAAGGGAGAAACTCAGAAAGAATACAAACGAGACAGTTACACGGGAGAATAATTGACTTGAATTTGATCACGAACCAAACTGTGACACAGGGAAGAATCGATGCACACGTCAATAATATACAGCCCTTCATCAATCCACTGCTGGATGATGGCCTCCTGACATGATGTTGTTTGACCAATCTTCACCACGCTGGTCAGTGCAGATTGGAGACATTGAAAGAGTTGTCGGGGGCAGCCAGCAACGATTAAAATATCATTCGCCACTGATATTATAGCCATGGCCAGAAACCGAACGTAGGTTGTCTGGTCGCCACCCCCCCCTCCCCCCATTGCATACAGGAGTAAAATATAATTCGCATTTATGGAGCACTCTAAATGAAACATTTCAAGAGTATGTACAAAAAAGAGAAGGGTAAATACACTGTATGCTCGTTATTGCGCACCCTTGCAATGCTGCGTACATGGCAGCAATGGAACACAAGCCTCTGTTTGTTTAGTGATACTCCAATGTGTCTGTTGTACAGATATTAATGAACTCCACTCTTCCCTTGGGACAGCGTCACTAAGCACCGAGTCATACAACAAAAACCATCCACTGTAAAATGCACACGCCCCCGAAGATTAATTACATTCACTGTACTTAGATTTGTATTTATCATTCATTATTTGCCCAGGAAACCTGACTGAAGTTGATCGTGGAAATATACCAATTGAAGATATTTATCCGACCAATTTGAACCCCGAATTGGATTTGAAGCTGCGACCTACCGACTAGTGAGCCGTGCGCTCCAAGCACTGCGCCACCCGGCTGAACATCACAAAGTACGATCCTCAGGAAAGTACCGAATCCACATTCAGACTACCTGGTTCGATGTTATTGTTTGTGGAGACTTTAGTGGATGCGCAAGCACACAGACGCATACTCTGCAAGTAGAAGCATGGATTAAGGTCACCTTGAACTGCAAGCCAAGCTCGAGCCGTGGACATTCTCCCATACCTTTGTCTTAGCTGACACCCAACCTCTTCTAACTGTTGTGCAGGGGCCCCCTGTAGGCATGGCACGACTCACCAACCGGCCAGTGGCTCAGTGGTAGAGAGCGAGCGAGCGGCTCGCAATGTTGCGAGTTTACAAGCTCGTTGGGCGGCCGACTCGGCTCATCAGCCCTCCACACTTTGGTTGGGAAACCAACGGTGGAGAGACTCGTCCCAAATGATGGGGCCACTTTGTTGAGTGGCCATCATTTTGTGGTAGTTAGGTCGCTTCTAAAGAAAAATTAATACCTCAGTGGGCTTCGCCTCGAAGGATGGGGATGGTTTAGTTTTCATTGCATTTGTTGGAGTGATTTGTTTACCTTTATTGTACTTTGCACTGCTATCATGTTTTTGCATTGTTTGTTGTTGTAACGTTCTTAACCGCCCAGACTGGGCATCTGAGAAAAATAGGTTTAGAGCTCATTGGATTCCTCCAGTATAAATAAAAATTCAGATTCTGATTAATTCCACCACTGGCTCAAAGGTATACAGATGAGAGCAATGTCATAATACTCACTTGAGCAGGAAATAACGTAACTTTAATCTGGCGATTGATTAAATTTCATTACGCAAGCATGTACGGTTCATATCGTTTAAATACCTCTGTGCAATTGCCTGTACATTTCGTTCCACACGTTCAATAAACAAATGATTGACATGAGAAAGAATGTGGATGTATTTCTTCATGACGCATCCACAGCACTGGGTAAAGCACACAGTCATTGTTTTGTTGCGCTCTAAAACAGCTCCGTGACACTGGGTAGCACAGTGCCTAAGTGGAGCGGCTGTGCACATGGGAGGGACGGAAGGGAAACGTAAAAAAAAACAGAAACATAACGTTGCTACACGGAGAACAAGTTGTAGTACATGTGTGCAATAGGGGAAAAGACAAAGTTCACGAACACGCTTCTGGCACATGGATCGAAACGTCGGACATCGTGTGTCGAACGAGGAAGAGAGCACACAACCCGATTACGCTCGAGGGAGCTGCCCAGCACAGCCATGAAAACCCGCGCACAAGTAGTCAACATGCTTCTTTTTTTTAAGCCATCCGTTATTGTATAGGCGGGTCAGCGTTTTCTCCTGTGGGGGGTTTGACGCTGTAATTTACACACCTGCGCAGACACACGCGCGGAGCAAGGAGTCTGGGGAAAAAAACGTGCATTGTTAAAGTCGTGACATTTACCCCAGGCTGCTGTTACAAAGCGCATGACAAACAACAACAACAAAACGGACTTAGTGGTGGACTTAAGTGGACAGAAGAGCATTGTTTGCCCAGCAGTGACAGCACAAACAATGAGTGGTCCAGTTCAGCAAGGCAGTGTGGATGAGATTAATAGGAGCATGGCAAACTTTTAAATAATAACATATTTAATAATGTAAATGTACCATATGGGGGGTAGGGGGTTGTTGTATTGTGTTTTGTGCATGACACTAAAGAGGCCAAGTTGCGTTTTACTTATAACGAGTGTCACTATTCCAAGTATCCCCGTACACAGATAGAAAGTGTCACTGTGTCCCTGCTGGGCATTTTAGTCAGCATTTGATTGACAGACCATCCTTTGTTGAGGTCTTGGAACGATATTAGACTGACGCACCAATGTCTAAAGGGGGGGGATCTTTGGACAATGTTACAATGATGCACCGATCCTTGATGGGATCCTGAGAGAATATTCGACAGATTGAGCGGTCTCTGATGGTGTTTTTAGACAAGTGGCAGAATGGTATCTGAAAGATCCTTCCTCCACAGGGCAATTTACATTACAATTTGGACATACATGGCATTCAATTGTGACCATATCTCAAGACACTGTAAAAACACACTGGGGATATATTTCATTGAGATGATGCAGGAGAAACACCACAAGGTCGAGAGACTTGAGACTATAATACACTGACAACCCGGTCTTAATATTAGTACAATAAGGTGGACCTGCCTTTAAAATAAAAAAAACTCGGACGATAAGTTGATTAACCGATTAAAAATTGCAATCACCTACTTTTTCTGGTTTATTTATTGTGCCCTTTAAAAATGGCAGCCCCTCCTCCCGACACACGCAGCCTGCCGAAGGTGGGAAATCCCTACAAGCCCCGCCCCCCAGGTTGACGATGTCGAAAAAACCACCTTGCCCTGCCCATCACCTCCCACACCCAGCAAAACGTGGGAACGGCCAACTATTTTGGTGCAATAAAATTAGCCAAACAATCAAACAGATAATCGGCAGACTAATTGATTACTTAAATAATCTCAGTTCTCAAAAAATAATTATCGGACGAACGGGTGTTTCCTTCACCAGGTGAGAGTGCCGCGTGGTTACCTGGGTATGGGTTTTGGCCTCCGTAAGGTGGGGGCTGTCCTCCGGGACCTGGGTAGGGGCCTGCCGGCTGAGGGTACGGCTGCTGAGGGTACGGCTGCTGAGGGTACGGCGGGTAGGGTTCAGCACCCGGGTACGGAGGCGGTGCCGACGGATTCATTTATTTCGCACAAGAGGGTCAGCCGAGCTGCAGAAGAAGGATCCCTGTCAGGAAGAGAGGGGTGGGAAGAAAGGGACACGTTGACGACGCAAGAAAATGATTTCTTCCCCACAATTCAAGATCACGATCGCCGGTGCGCGGCTCGAAACGTCAGACACCATGTCTAACGACACACAGTTTAGCCAAAAACACAACTGACAGATATACAGCACAACCACGGATACCTTCTAAGTAGGCTTCAATCTCTTTATTGCCATTGTGAATTCATAGTGCAAGCAAAACGTTCACACACGTGATATGATTTCCATGAACGAATACCATGAAATACGAAGTAGGAATTGCAAATAAAACATTTACATGTGCACCAAGCGACGCATGTGTCGTGAGCACGAAAACATGCTGTAAAATAGATTTTTAGAATTTTATTACAAATGTGCCATCAACAGCATGAGACTGTGTCCCTTCAGAACTCATGCACAGCAATGCAGCATTAAACATCAGATAATGGCCCATGAACGGATATCACTAAACTAATTGTGAGATGCCTTCACATGATCTCCTATCCACACCAGGGCAACTGTACCATGCGCTCCTTCTAAAAATAAATTTGAATGTTGAACTGCGCGTATGTTGAACTTCTTTCGCACCGTACGTAGCCACGATGCAGGCAATTTTTAGTAAATGTATTTATTTACAGTGCTGTCATGTATGAACAGATTAATTGAAACCAAAATATCAGAACCATCCCGAGGGTACGACTGATCGGGGCGATCGCCCCAGGCCCCGCGGTTTGACGTCACAGTGTCAGACGTAATATTCCTGGTTTAGGGGGCCGACACAGCGGGATTATCCCCAGACCCCCCCTATATAGACTGCCCGACTAAATAAAATATATTTTTTTGTGCAGTCAGAGGGGTGACCAATGAGACCATCTGCACACAACACCTTAAGAAATCTGGTCTATTCCGAGTTGGGGTAGCCAAAACCCAGTTTTGGCCATGATGTCAGCAGTTGCACCTTCGAGCTCCCATCTCTGAAGACACAAAGCAACTCACGTGAGATTAATCATCGCATGCCTACTGCCGGCGGCCGTGCCATCACGTGCACGCGCCGCAGAGGAGAGGAACATGCAGACCATGAGACTCGTTCGTGCTAATGGCTTGGGGCACACAGCCAATCCTGAAAAAACCTCACCAAGCTGCCCAAAACCGCCCGCGTAACATTACAAGTTTTCAAGACGAGACTCCACACCCAATTGGTATGCGCTGGGTTTAACCAGTAAACACAATGCTACGCTCTGTTGACTGCATGAAGAACATCACCATCATCATTATCAGCCTCAATCTCTCCACTGCCAGATGAAGGCATCACCAAGTCGTCACCGTCTATCGCGGTCTCACGATGCATTCGTCCATCTCACTCCTGCATAAGAGCCGATCTCGTCACTCCCTCTCCGCAGTGAACGTCCCTCCCTCTCGAGTTTTCCCTCCTTTGGCCGCCACTCTGCCGTTCGTCTCTACCACCGGCCATTGTTCTTTATAACCGACGTGTTCTGCTGACGTCTCCGAACTGGTGACCTTTTTTCTTCTAATTCGTACGTTTCTCCATCTGCCAACTTCATTCGCATGTGCAAGCACCACACATCTTTGCGCACTCATCAGATCTTCTTATACCATTACCATGATGAAGAAATGCTCACGCTACGTGCCACCAATTCCACAGCGATTCGATTTAGAATGAACGACGTAAAAGTGATCGTCGGTACGACTGCGGGACGGCGTGTCTCCTCGTCCAACTCCCCCCTTGGTGTGTGCTTTAGCTACCTCCTTCATGCGGTCTCAGCACAGCTCTCGTCCTCACCACCACCCGCACGCACGCCCACGTCGGGTGGAGAGGCCTTTAGCCAGCAGTTGATTAACAAAAAATCAATGTTACCATAACTCAAGAACCGACCCATTAAAAATATAACATGCACAAAATGCTAGCTCAGATTGGTGCATGCATCATGTCAATGTGGATAATGATTAACAATCCAGCGGTTTTACCCATTCTAATAATTCAATACATTTTTGTTTGTCCAATCTTGTTCACCGAGTTGTGCTCTGTGTAACGTGCATATTTTTTGCATAACTCGTAAGTATCATGAGTATACAAACATATTTTTATAACGGAATCACAGCCTTGCTACTTTTTAAAAACATGTATATACAGCCCTTGGTCGAACTACTAAATGAAGGTGTGCGCCCCCGCCTTGTCAGTAATGGGAGTTATTTGACCATACTTCACCACGCTTGTGAGTGCAGGCTGCTGAAGGACAAGGTTGCATCAACAAAGCTCTAACGAACACACCATGTGTCACGTACAGCCAAAGCTTGCTGTTTGTACCGCGACCGATGTAACCATAATTGTAACTCGGACCTGTACTGTACAATACTATATATCAAATCAGCTTATTGGGCCCTTCCTGCTGAAACAAATTAAATCTATCTTACTAATCGTTGCATCAGTAACAATTTATAGACAGACTGCTTCGACGGTGCAGGTTCAATACGACTGGTACATGTGTAAATTGTGAAATCCATGTCTGTACGTGTTTAGGTGTTCTCTTTTACATCCTACACTCGGGGTATGCACAACGACGTGGGCGTGCGGGCCTTTAAGTTTCTAATTCCAGCCTCTAGGCCCCCTCTTGCCTCATCGCTCTGGCAACCGGCCTACACCCACCACGCTTGCTCTGCAGCCTGCACTCACAGGCACAAAGAGAGGCTGGGTTTGGGCCAAATCAGACAGCCACTTCTCTCTCTCTGTAGCTTCAAGCAGTTTTTTTTTAAGAGCCGTCACCCTATGCTTCACTCAATTTTTTTGAAGGGTCTTTCATATATTATCTAAACATTTCACCATGATGGCGAGATGTTATCTCTCACATCTGGAAGAGGTCGTTTGTTTGTTCCCGACCCTGTCGATGCCTGTATAATTAGAATTCGCGTGTTCTCTCCCCGTGGAAGTCACGTGGAATTTTTTCCAGGTCCTCCGGGTTTTCCCTCCACATTTCAAAACGTGCATTTAGATCATTTGGCTGTCACGATACATTCCCACGTGTGATGATTATGAAAACCACGTCTTGTGTGGCCAGGTCACCTTTGAAAAAGAGCTAATTGCTCTGTGGGCTTTACCCCGAAAATAATAAAAAAAATGTTTAAAGAATTTAGCGTTTTGTGTTATGCTTTTCCCCTTAGGTTAGTGCAACTGCAATCCATATTACATACATTCTCACTGTACACATACACAAAATACACACACGTGTACAGAACACTTTTTCATCATGCTGCAATTATACATTTACAGTCCTTTGACAATCCACTGCTGGATGACGACCTTCCCACAAGCCGTGGCAAGTCATGGGGTTTTTATTTGAGCATACTTCTCCACGCTGGTCACAGCGATTTGGTTGAAAGAAGAAGAGGCCCACGGCTGGTTCGGGTGTCATTTGACACCGACATCAGTCACGACCGGGAATCAAACTTAGGTGGCTAGGTTCTCCGCACCTCTGATGAGCACGGTTGGCTACGTACGGTGAAAAATAAGTTCAACACACATCCATACAGGCTCAGAGAGTGCCATGTGTGACCCACTGCGCCACCACTCCCCTCCCAAGTGTAGTAAGTATTCAGGAGGCTTTGACGACGGGGTCGGAGGCACACTTATTTATTAACACCAACTTGTGCACAGTAACGGGTACACACAGTACTTAAGGGGGTATCGTCCCCTTCACTCGGCTACAGGGAGACACAACATCTAACCCCGCTAACCTACGCCCAAGTCCTCCACTACGGAGCTAGGGGAGGCTACCTATCCCAGCCCTGGTCAAGCTGGGATCCCGGCACCCTGAGTCTCCAGACCGGCTCTTATAAGAACGTCAGTCTGGGCTCTCGGGGCCACGTCACCGGCTTGCCCTGGTCGGCCCTGACAAGGACAGCGAGCCAGGGGAGCTCCGGGGCCTATTCTAGCTGGTCTTCAGTCTTCGCTGGTTTAAGCTAATACTCGACCTCGAGCCCTCCGGCTCACTACCTTTTATAGTACTCGGCCCCCGGGAGGGGCCCGTGGGGGATGCAGGTGCGGACGTCGGTGTGAGCACCTCCTCTGTGTACGGCCCTAACCACGCCCCTTGTGTTTGTTAGCCATCCGTGCCCATACACAATTACACCTCTACACAAGTATGAATTACTGTACTGTAATTTCAGTGCTTCAGTAATTGCAAGTAATGTATTTTTATCAGTGTCAATGACTTATGATGTAATTTACATGTATATCGTATACATATATTTTCTTCACACCTGTCCACGTGCTATCTGTCTGACCATGCAATTTGCCACGTTCGAGTAATTCAACCTGCAAAGGCCTGTTCAGGTCAGATAACATCTGTGAAATCTTTGAGTACTTCTGTGCCATGAATAACATTACCGCCATCACATCTGGCCTGATGGGCTTGTGGCGATAATGATGGAGTGACTCACAATCAGAAAGCTCCGTGCGCATTTGAGTTTATATTTCGGTCAATGATTGGTCGATTCAGCCCATCATTCCTCAGGGGTCAATGAGTAAATTTAGGGTCGATGAGTATCAAAGTTACGGTGAGTCACCAATGATCACCTCATAGATACACTTGCCCTTGTCGTGATAATGTGGAATTTCCACCACTATGTGAAGGCTGCAGATGGAGATAGACGCAGTGCTATTGGTTGCTTTAGCGGGGAGACACCGTGTCACTTAAGTACCATTTGTTTAATTAGCAAAGCCTCACTGAGTTTCAATACTCGTTTTCAGGAGTGTTCTTTTTTGGGCCAGTTCCTTTGTAAGGGAGCATTTTTATGCAATTGAGAGAAAGGAAACGGCAGTACCCATTATGGCTAAAGCTCTGTCACCTGAGGTTGTGCCAACAAGTAATATATTTGGTCTGGGCTCATGGCACTCTTGGCCATGGTTTAGCTGTACCTGCGCAAGAGTGCACCTCACAATGATCAATGCCAGGTGCCATGACTACCTG